ATGTCTTAAGGCTCGTTGAGGAGCAAAAGGTTTGCCTCTTATTTAGTGTCTTGTTATAAAAAGCTTATGTTTTTTTCTTCACTTAATTCCTATACATTATAAATGCCTCCTGCCATGGATTTCGAAATTTCCAGAGAGAGAAAGAGGAGGCCTATAACAAGATACTTCAGTTGGAAAAACAGCTAGATGCCAAACAGAAGTTGGAGATGGAAATTGAAGAGTTAAAAGGGAAATTGCAAGTTATGAAGCATCTTGGAGATGAAGATGATGCAGCTGTCCAGAATAAGATAAAAGAAATGAATGATGAATTGCAAGAAAAAATAGATAATTTAGAAAACATGGAGGCCATGAATCAAACCCTCATCGTCAAGGAGCGCCAGAGCAATGATGAACTACAGGAAGCTCGTAAAGAACTAATAAAAGTATGATCCATTTAGTTTACATCCTTAAACCTTTCTCTTCACTGATTCTTGAAGATAATCACTCTAACAACTGCTTCTTTTCCTGCATCTAGTCATGCTAAGCTCTAAAAATGTCTGCAAGAAGATTTTCTTCATCTTTTTGTTGGAAACAAGAAGTTGGATATTCTATTATTGTGTCATGAGTAGATTACGGATACTAAGTTTTTTTTATTCCTAATGTTTTAGGGCTTAGAGGATATGCTGAATGGTCCTAGAACTAATATTGGGCTCAAGAGAATGGGTGAGCTTGATCAGAAGATTTTTGTGAATAACTGCAAGAAAAGATATCCTCTTGAAGAAGCTGGAACAAAGGGTGTTGAACTTTGCTCTTTGTGGCAGGAGAATGTAAAGAATTCAGCTTGGCATCCCTTTAAAGTCATCAAAATTGATGATAAAGTGGAGGTATGCACCATCATGACATGTTTGTCATTTCATAACATAGCTATGCCATTCAGTGGGCTTGGTTGACTTGGTTACATGTAGTTTTCTGTTTACACATGGCAGAAAATTTCTTTTTATGCTCTCTTGTGCCTGGAAAAATGGTTTTCATGGTTGGTAATTAACTAATTATTTAGTTTGTTGTTAAGTTACAGTCATCGCTTGGCATATGTATAGGTCCCGTGATATACTCTTTTAGCTCCTGGTTCAGCTAGTTTCATTAGTACCTCTAGAGCAGAGAAATATAGTATAATACTGAACCCATGTAATTATGATGCATTGAAACAGGAAATTATAGATGAGGAAGATGATAAGTTACGAAGTCTCAAGCAGGAATGGGGAGATGAGATACATTCGGCTGTTGTTACAGCCTTGAAAGAAATAAATGAATACAATGCAAGCGGCGGGTATACTGTTTTGGAGCTATGGAACTTCAAGGAGAAAAGGAAGGCTACATTGAAAGAAGTTATCAATTATATTATGGATCATATCAAGCCACTTAAGCGCAAGAGAGCATAGGCAAAAGGTTATTGTTTCAGACTTTCATTTGAGTTGTGGTTGAGCAGTGCCTTGAGTGATTGATTAATGAGCACGCATTGATATCCCTGTGATGGCTTCTCTGAATAAAATAGAATGTGGAAAGGAAGGAAAAATAAAGAACTTGGATGCATCTGTATGTGCATGTAAAAACTTTTAGACTCTTGTTTGGTGCTGTAATAAATAATTAGATTCTTATTAAGCAATTTCTAATACCTAGAATGAGCTATTCCTAATTGAGTATCTAAAGCTAGTGCATCAATCTAATCTAAAATCTATGTATGAACTATGAAGTGATTGATTACCATATTGGAGTTGCGGGTCTGACTAAGGTTAAGTTATCTACAGATAGTACTGTGCTGACACCCCCTATTCCCTAAGCTCTGCAACTGCAACACCATGTGGTGGTTGCTTCTGTTTAATTTAATCACTGCGTCGATTGGTTTTGTTAGTTCAAAGTTGGGTATTTCAAATATCCCTGTTTATTTTACGAATAATTTTAGAAGCAAAAGATGGAAATGAAATGTTGATGTCTGATAGAATTAAATATTCCTGTTTAATTTGCATTCAGAAAGAAAAGAAATTCAGATGTATACACATTTTAGTTGTCTGTTAAAATTTGAATGACTGTTCCATCTTTAGTCTTTGCAGGGGAGCAATGCATGATATATCAACGGGGAAGATGGACCTTTTTTCCGTGGCTTTGTATAAATGGGAAGATGGAAAATAGGAGCGTTTTCATGGGTTTGTGCTGGACTTGAGTTGAATGTGAAACATTTCATAAATAATGGATTTGAAGATTTGTAATATGATGATTTTATTCCTAAAATTTCACTCAATGCTATCAATGAATCAATTTTTTCCGAAGTTGGGTTCGCCAAAGTTCATTCATTTCTAAAAATTCACTCAATGCAGATCAACACATATAATTAACGATCTAAGTTTGGAAAGAAAAAAATTAAGAGGATAATCATAAGATCGCAATTTTGCTATAAACATGATAAGAGTCATTTAATTTTGGATAGAAAATACTGTGTAGAGTAGAAAATAACAAAACTCCGTGAAACTTAAATATCTTATTTTGTTTCCCCATTTACGAAAAGGAAGACAATGATAATCCTAGTGTTTCAAGTGAAACATGCAACTTGGCCGGCCTCCGTTGGCTGGAAGAAGAGGTTTTTACTTCGAGAAACCTTCGTTCTGTCATGAAAATGGGGATTTACACTTGGAAATTCTTCTTGTGCCTAAACAGGCAAAACGATTGTATTTATATGAAACAGTAACAAATTCGCTGTTTTTGCGCTGTGTGAAGCGAAATTTTAGGATCAAAGAAATGGAGGGATTTACATAGTGCCACCCATGAGGAAATTTTCAAATTAATTTTTGAAATAATGAGTAGGTTATTTTAGTTCTTAAGGTTTTAAAGTTTTTCTTATAAAATGTTATTTAATTTAGTCCCTTTTTAAAAATAAAAAAAAGACATTGAAAAATAAAAATAATTAAAATAAATATTTTTCTTATGAAGTTGGTATTTAAATAAGGTTTTTTAAAATCTTTAAGAAAATAATTATCAACAAATTTTGAAGAAATTAAAATATCTCATTCATACAATCTTAAAGTCTATTTTATTTAAACATTAACAACTTTGAAAATTTATAAATTAAAATATCTAAATTTTATAATTTTGAATACTTTCAAACAGTATGATAAAATATAACATTAACTTCTTATACTTGTTAAAACTACAATGTAAAATTTTAATTAAAAAGGATTGCTTCTATCAAATTTAGTTTTACATTTTTTTTGGTTAAATAGTTTAGTTTGGCTTAGTTGAACAGATTTTAATATATATTTCTATTGTTGAAAATTGGAGAGAAAAATTGAATTCATTGATATTCCTTTTAAACAAAATGACATCATATTATACATTAAATAAAACTAGGATAAAATCAAATGAGATATTTGAGTTGATTAGTTTAAATAACAATCTCTTTTACCCGAAACGTTGTATTGTTCACCTTGAGTCCAAAATTATACAAGTGACGTAAGGAGGAGAGTTTAGGTTGCTTGATTCATGTGATGAGCCATTAAGTTCCAATTTGTGAAACCGATATTCAAATTATAAATGATCAAGTTTCCTTGATTCGATTCGATGTGAATCTAAACGTATAAATCAAACCAAAATGGGCTTGATTTAGTTCTTAAGTTGTTGACAATAAGTTGATCCAAACCAATGAACATCCTAACAGTTTCTTTTCTTTTTAAATATTTTTATTTAATTTTTTTACTGAAGTAATTATATTTTAGAAAGTTTTAAATAAGTTTTACTTTAACGATCATTATTGTACTCCATTTATAAACGTTTACAATTATTGAGTTACTGGGTGTTGCTACATTTGGTTTTAACATCTTAGTTTATAAATTTTTATAATTAATAGGGACTTAATTAAAAAATTAGTTATAAATTACGAAGAACCCATTTGTTTATTTGTTTTTTTTTTTAATATGAAGTAATATCTTGATTTACTGCACAAGTAATTATTTCACAGTTCATAACACGAAACTTCTAGTCTGATGTTGACGCCAATATCCTGCAGTTTCTTTTTCTCTGAAGAACAAGTTTTATATGCTTTCTGTGAAAACGAATAGAACATTCTTCATGGCACACTGAAAACAACAGCACAACTATGGCCACCTTTTCTCTCCCTATGCTTCAGGAAATGTATAAACTTAAATCTGCAACTACAAAACTGATGAAAGGTTGTTTGATTTCCTGTTGCAACAAAAGTAAGGGGAGGAACCACAAAATAAAGAAACATTGCTTCCACCGAACCGCGTTTTCTGGCTGCAAAATCCTAAACAAACCAGAGGGTAAGTTGTTAGCTGAAGTAGTTAATCTATGCAGTAAAACTATATAAGTTGCTTTACCTTCGAACAACAAACACAAGGTGAGACAATAAACGCTTTGCCTCCTCTTCTATCTGATGCAAAAGTTCTTCCAAAGTAGTTATCATTTACCATTCTAATTTGGTATACTCCAATGACAGGCTAGGAAATATATAAATGTAGCAACGTGATTTTCTATTTCTTCAAATGAAACTAAAAAATGACACCAGAGGTTGAAGCTCCTTTTATGTTATATAGCATCTCAGCCACGAAGAAATGGATGGCATTTTTAAGGGAAGTGCCGAGACCAAAAAATGGCTCAAAATCCAATTGCTGACTCCCAACAAATACGCTATTAAACCTCCACATCAACCCCCTCCCTAAAAAAACCTCTGGAAGACAATAATTGTGACCACAATGCTCCAAATGATTTCTTAATCCGAGTGTCATTTTGCGTAGTCCTGTCATAATGCCCAAGTGAAACCGAATCGATAGGCTTGAAGATGTAAAAGGAAAATATTGAACACAAAGGATAAGTAGTAACAAGAGTATTAATAAGTTAAGACACTTAATGCCGAAGTTTACATAGAAGTTGGTATTTCACCAGATATACAGCAGCTCAAACAAATAGAGATCTACCACTTTTAACAAATTTTTTTTTTCTCTCTTCTAATTTCATTTTTTTTTCCTTCTCAGTAAGTAGCACTCTGTCCATTCTCAACACCTAAACCATACAAGACACCAGCATATATCTCCAAAGAGCCACTAAAGAAATTGTCTTTCAACTTCCTGAATGTACAAGATGTGAGCAAACTATCAGAACCAGCCTGATGGCAAATCCCAACCCTCTCAACCTCCAACAACTCTGCAAGCTTGTTCAAGCCACCATGAAGGCTGTTACAAAACTTCATGAGGTGTTTGATATCATACACAGTGGGGAAGTACATGTTGATCAAATTGAAGAACCCAACTTGGGTATCAGGCAAATCCTGGCAAGTTAAGAGCTTTAACAAGTACCCAAAATCATAGCCACTATGGAAAGTGACCCAAATGACATTATCATTCAACACAATCCCAGATGACATCAAAAGCTCCCCAAAACGGTGAGCATCGATGCCCTCCTCGTTGTTCTTCTTGAAATCAATGCCACTCTGCCGCAAAAGCTCAATGGAATCATTGGCGAAAACATCCTCGTTAACATTGAACTCGCGGAAGTTGAATTGCCATAGGCAAAACCTGTCGGTTCCGCACGTGGGAAGATTCCCTTGCTCGTCGGAGAAAGTGAGGCCCAATTGAATGAGCTTCAACATGTCAACGTTGTCTTTTAGGGTTTGGTAATGGTAATCGTAGCTGTTCTTGAAATTCCCAACCGGTCGTAGAACAATTCCCGGAAACTCCGTGTCCATCGCGATGTACGGGTAATCGTCAACGATTTCCCGAATCAACGCGAATTCCTCTTCCAGGTTATCGTTCCACACCTCGCGAATCTGGATCGAATCGCTTTTAGGCAAAATTAGCGGCATTCCTTGCACCCGCAATAATTAACCATACAATCCACCAGATCTGTCAAATTCCCATCAAAATTAGCGTCAATATCATGCAATTCCACATCCAGGCTCGCCAATTTACGATCAAAAATTGGAACTTTAGACAACAGATAATTAATTAGGGGGGGGGGGGGGGGGGAAGGGGGATTCTGACCTCGAGCCGAATAAAGAGAGAACAGCCAGGGAACTGGAATTCAGAATCGAGGGAAAAAAAATTTGGATGGGAACAGAGAGAATGAAGGAGAGAGAAGGAAGAGATTTGAGGGGGTGGGAAATCTCTCCCGTTCTAGGGTTTCTTTTTTTCTTTTTGGTTATGAAATGGGGAAAAAGAAGAAGTGGGCTAGCTAGAGGCTAGAAGGAAGGAGGAAAAGATATTTTGTTATAAATTAGTGGTGGAATTGCTTTTTCTTGCTTCTTGTGTTGGTTTCTCAAATGCTTTTACTTTTCTTATTATAATTTTTATTATTATTTTTGTGGAGAATCTGTTTGTTTGTTTTCATAGCAAACAAATCTTTCTCTCTACAAATAAAAGAGATAAAATAAATATATACATTTTTTTATTTAAAATGATAAAAACGACACGTTTTAATGGTCGAAATTGTGTACACGATCTGTATTTATCATTGGCTACGTTGTTTCCAAGTTCAACATGCCGTTTTGCCATTCCCTTCTCTCAAATTAATACCTTATCCTAACAAATTCCTATTAAGAAATACAAAAGAGAAAGCAGAACAATAAAACGACAGACAGGTAACCAACTGCAAATATAACAAATATAATAATGTATAATTACTGTTAATGTATTTTAAATTGAAATACTGATTAAACATAAAAAACATTACATCACCGAAGGACTATAAAACTATTATTGATTTTTAAACAAATTGAGACAGTTATGATAACATCTAAATATATATTTTTCGCATATAAATGTTTGTTTTTAAATTAAATGTTTTAATCTAATTATTTATTTTATTACAAAAATAATTAACTACATATAATTAGTCATGAGCAAAAATTGATTAACTAACCCTAAAATTAAATTTCAGCTTGTGGACCCTAAAAATTATTTAGGTTTAACTAGAGAAGAGTTCATATCAAAATAGTTTAACCAAAAAATTTATTTTTCACTGATCACAGATCACAGATGACTCATTTTCTTGGTGTTTTTTTTTGGTCAACATGGGCTTAGGCTTATGAAGGCCACATTTGGGAGCAACCACACACACAAGAGGCCCAATTTGGAGTTTAGATTTTAGGGTTCTCTGATTATATAATCTTTACTCACTCCTTCTGTAACTCACTTCGGCGGCATCGTTCTTCAGCTTCAAGGTTTCTCTCTCTTTCTCCTTCTCTCTCCATGTACATGATTGTGGTTTTAAGCATTGATGAATAGCGGATTGAGTTCAATCTCTTGCATGTACTTTTGGGTTTACGTTGAATGATTTTAGGTTTTGGTATTTCTTGTTGCAGCATCACATGCATGTATGTGTTGGAGATTTGGTTATTCCCTATTTTATTTTAACTGGTTTGCATTTTCTCAATAGTGTTTAGTAACTTGTAAAATAAAACAAAAAAAGATAAATCATTTGCATTAACGTCTGAATGCTGCTTCATGGCCTGATATCTGATTTTTTTTTTCATTATTTGTTTGTGCAGAAGAGAGATTGTTATTCGCAATCGACAAGGAAAATGTCAGGGTATGATAATTTTGCTTCTGTGTGTGATTCTATTATTATTGCATTTCTCTAGCTTACAGGAAAAATTTGGTAGATAGGACATATTGTTTAAGTTACAGATTATTCTGTGAGTAGGGGCCTGTCAATGTAGTTATTGTTGCTCAGAAATCGGTGGGTTCGATTCCTTCTATTTGAATTGATGATTAGAGAATTGAATTTGAGAGCCTACAGACTAACTATTGTTATGTGTTACATATTTATGAACGTATGGAAAATTATTTTTTGTTGTTGTTGTTGTAGGCTGTTAGTTCTGTAGAAGTTCTCTTAATTGTTCTGATGTGAATTAATAATGATTCTTCAGTGGGCTGTTAGTAAAACTTGTCCTGGTCGTTCTGTTACTGTGTCTGGACTCTGTTTCTCTTGAGAATATATTATCTTTGTCTGAGTAGCAATTCTTGTTTGCTTTCCTATTTTCATGGTATTTTTCCCTCTGCAGTGAGGAAGTTGCTGTTGCAGCTGAGCCAGCTGCTTCAATTCCAGGTGAGCCAATGGATATCATGACTGCCTTACAACTTGTGCTCAGAAAATCATTGGCTTATGGTGGTCTTGCGAGAGGCCTTCACGAAGGTGCGAAAGTGATTGAGAAACATGCTGCACAGCTATGTGTTCTAGCTGAAGACTGTGACCAACCTGACTATGTTAAACTTGTTAAGGCCCTCTGTGCAGAGCACAATGTTAGCTTGCTGACAGTTCCAAGTGCAAAGACCCTTGGAGAATGGGCTGGTGTAAGTGCCTCTGATAGTAAAACATATTGATTTCTAATTTCATTTAATCCAAGTTTCAAACTGCTGAGTTTTATAGCATTTTATTGTGTTAATTGTGGTGGGCCTTCTCCTGCAGTTGTGCAAGATCGATTCAGAAGGAAAAGCTAGGAAGGTAACCGGTTGCTCCTGTGTGGTTGTCAAGGTATGAATATTATTGAAATAAAAATGTTTATTAATAGTTTTTTTTTTTTGCCCTTCTAACAGTATTGAAACTGTTGGCTTCTTTCAGGATTTCGGGGAGGAACATGAAGCCTATAATGTTGTTCTGCAGCATGTGAAATCGCATTGATTTTCAAGTTGCATAGATTTTGTGCTTGACTTTTCATTTGAAGGTTATTCCATGAGAATGAATTTTGCCTTGTAGCTGGAGTATTTTAACTGTGGTTTTGATTGTTTAATGACACTATGCCGCATTCTCGATGTTACTGTTATGCCTTTTTTTTTTTACTCTTATTTTTATACATTACTGCTACTCTAATCTAAGCGGGAACCTTTGATTTGATTTACTTATTTGGATTAGTGTATGTTGAGAAAAAGGAAAATCTAAGAAAATTTAACGGATTCAATTTAATTAGTTTTTACTTTAAAAGATTATGAATTTGAGTGTTGTAGGTAAAAGAAAGTTAATAATGTAGACTTTTTATATTCTAAGAAGAGGCTTAGCTATATATTTTTGAGAAGGTTCAGTTTTAGGTAAAATAGATAGTTTCAGGTCAACAAAAAAACATTTAGTCATATTATGTAAATAAACGATATTAACAGTCGTTATAGTAATAATAATTTTTTTTATATATTTATAAGTTTAGATTCGTTAGCTTCTTTTAGAGTAACCCATGTGACGAATGTTAGTGGGTCGGGTAAAAGAAAGGGTGAATTTAATGTGGACTCAGAATAATAATGTTTTTTTGAATGTGTTTTAAGACGATATTGCTAGATAGATCTATTTTATTGGGTCTAATTTATTTAAGGATAATTTTTAGTTAAATTTGGGTTCACTTTTTTTTTGTTAATAAAGATGTTTATGTTCTCAATCAATTAGAATGCATTATAATATTTTTTTTGTATTTATTATTATTTAAATAAATGATTTTATTTATATAATAATTTATAATTAAATGACGGTTTTATTATCAGTGCATTTAAAATAAACTTAATCCAACCTATTTGTGATCAGATTTAGCTCAATCCTTAAACACCCGTAAGAAGTAAATGACAGAGAATAGAGCTATAATCTTGACTTCAGACTAGAAATTACGCAACTTAAAGACGGTTTTTAAACACTCGACTCTCAAGGAGAGAGAAAATGGAATTAATGTTAAATATTTATTAATAAATTCTATTAGAAATAATTAAAATCAAATATAGAAAGTTATAATATTTTTAAAAAGTTACAAAATTATTTAAAATAATCGTATGATTTTAAGTTATCTTTAATTTTAATCATCTATGCACAGTTATTGAGTCAAGATTTGTTATTTTCATAATAATTTTCTTACTAAATACATAATTAACACTCACTTCCTAAATCTTGCTATTATAAGAGAATTGTGCATAGTTTAATTTTTTTTTTCAAATTATATCACAATACAAAGTTGTGATTTCTAGGTCTCTATTTTTATTTTTATTTTTTTGCTATATAAAAGGGCTAAAAGCCCTAAAGAACAATTAATACACAAGAAAGGGAGAAGAGAAGTCAAGAGACTCATCCAATGAAGTTTTAGCAAGACTGTTTGCGCACTGATTAGCCTCCCTACAAATAAGGCTTAATCTTATACACTCAATAGAATTTCTAATTTCTTTAATTACATCAATCAAAGGATGGAACCGGGATTGAACATTCTGGATGAGGCAATAACCAATAAGCCTGTTTACAATCACTTTCAATTCAAACCCATTGGAAACCTTGCTGCAGAACAAGCTGAATCCCATGGTAAATGCCCCAAATCTCAGCTTCCAAAGGGGAAAAGGACCTGATTAGCAACCAGTCGACCTATACAGGCACGAATTAGTCCTCAACAGGCAGAATCACCCTATAGCCTAGAAACAGCACATCCACATTTAACTTCATTTGGCCAGGTGGGGGAGGCTTCCAGGTAATTAGGTTCTGATCAGAAATTCTCTGTTTAAGATGTTTATGGGAGCCCTGCTGCAAGAAAACATATAATTAAAATCACAACAAATCCTCTGAATAAGGCTCATGGATTGGGTAGACACATATTGGAAGACAAAATTGTTCCTATCTTTCCATAAATTATGATTCCAAAAATATTCTGTCAATCAGGGAGAAGGCTGCAGTTTTTGGTTAAACAAGTTAAAGACCAACCAATTAAGTGTTCTTTTACAAAAGAAAGGTACCCATTACTAAGGAAAGAGAAAATGATCCCAGACAGATTTGACATAAAAACAATCTCTGAGAACATATATTATGGACTCAAGGCCTGCCCACATTTAGGGCAAGAAGAATACCCATTTCTAAGTCTCTATTTTTTTAATTATTATTTAACCTACCATATATAAAGACATAATTTTGTAAAAATAAATCATACATTTTATTTCATATCAAATGATATTTTTCATATTATTTTAAAAGTATAATTTTTTTATATAAATTATTTTTAAAACATTATTTATTGTAGTAAAATTTCATATCTTAAACTATTTTTCCCCTTTTATGATATTTTGAAATTCTTAATTTAAAAAGAATTATCTTTTAGATTTTTATCATTTTAGAATCTTCCAGAGTTTAATTACTTTTAATTTTAGATTTTATAAATATTTTTTTCTTATTGTAAAATCTTGTATCTTAATTTTTTTATATCGTTTCGATATCATTTTAAAATTCCTAATTTCAAAAGAGTTGTTTTAGATTTTTATTTTTTTAATCAGTTTGCTATCTTACAATGTTTAATTACTTTCGATTTTATATTTATCATTATTTTATTATTTAAAAATCTTATATCTTATTGATATTTTCTCTTGTTGCCATTTTCAAATTCCTTATTTTTCTTATAATTTTTTTTTATTTTAAAAGAGCTTTTCTTTTCATTTCTATCTGTTTTTCCTTTCCTTATCATTTTGAAATCCCTAATTTTAAAGAGAGTTTTTCTTTTCATCTCTATCCTTTGTTATTTTTCTGAAATCTTTAGATGTTTAAATTATTTTCAATTTCATATTTTATTGTGGTTTTATTTTTGTAAAATTTTGTTTTTCAAAATCAAGTTCTTTCACCTATTGATCGATTCATGATTGTGAAAACCCTAATTTTTAAAAAATTCTTAATTCTAAATTTGTTCTTCTTCTAGTTTTGTATCCAAATCTCAAAATAGTTTTCTTACATAGTTTGTTGTTTGTTGTTGATGTTGTTATGAACTCTTTAATCTCATAGCTATTGTGTTCATACGTCACTGTTCTGAAATGTCAAAATCAAAATCTTCTATTTTCTAATTGCTGTGAATCTACAAATTTTAAATAATCTTTTCATATTTCTTTATGGTTGTAAAATTCTTAATCTGAAATTGACCTAACACCTATTTTATTCAAATATCTAATTTACATTTTTGTTGTGTTCCTTACTTCAGTTTGTGAAGTCTCTAATCTTGAAATCATTTTCTTCTATACCTCGCATCAATTTTTGTTGTGAAATTTGTGATTTGAAAATTATTTTTCTAATTCTAGAATCATAAGCACCAAATTTATTTCATGTTAATCACATCATGAAGCTTACTAAAAGCATACGTATGTGTAGAAGAATTTCTCTACTTTATATTTTGTGTGTACTGATACCTATTCCAGAAAAGAACGAACACCTCTTTGTAACAAGGTAAGAGCCTAATTATCATTTCTTATTTTCTTAACAAATATTATATGATTTTTTTTTCTAATAGAACTCAATGTTATCATTTCTTAGTACTTTGCATGCTTTATCCCTTTAAGTAAATTTCCTTCATTTTATTAGTTGATCGAATGTAATTTTTCAGCTAGTTTTGTATATAAATCATGTTTTTATATATATAATTGAATTTAGATGCCTTTTTGTTTATGTTTAGGTAATTTTAAACTAATAATTTACATGTATGTGTCATGTGAACAAGAGTTTATATATTTTTCGATATTTTTAGTAAAAGACAATTAAGTTGAGACTATTCTAAGGGTACTAGGATAAGACATAGGTCATGTAAAATGAGTATGAAACTACGAAGTTGTAATATGATAAATTGGAAACCAAGGGGCAACTAAGGTGCAAGTATGGTGCCATAACTCTCTGAGAAGGAGCACCTAATGTACTAAATAGGCCATGACCATAGCTAAGTCTAATTAATTGTGCTGAAACATTATTAAAAATTTATATTTAATTTATTTTTAAAGTTAGTTCATAGTGAATTTTTTAAGTCTTTGTTCTGATTTTTAGTTAACATGAAATACATCTTAATACTTGTTTCCACTAGGATAAAACATTTAGGGTGTGAAATTTGTAAGATTATATTAAAAAATTAAGTGTAATTTATTTTTTTAGAAGGTAGTTTAGAAAAAAACTTTATAAGAAGTATTCTGATATAATTTCTACATAACGTGCATGTTGACATTTGAAACTACATTGCACTCCTTAGTTGTGAAACATGACCTTTATTTCAGAACTTATATACAGAAATGTGAATTCAAGTTTAGATTGCAAGTAGATTCCATTCAGCCTCTTTGCACAAAAAAATGTGACACTTGCATTTATATATATTTTTCTCTTTGTATGATATTTCATTTTTTTTTTATCATGATCAAAATTTTGGATAAATTACAACTTATATTAGAATAGATCATTTGCATAACATTGTTAGTGGAAGTCATGAAAAAAAAATTATCTGTGCAATTTTTTTTATTTGATATTTAGTTATAGAGATTTTTAATAAGCGGTATAACATTTTACAATAAAAGTATTTTTTTTCTTCATTTTGTTTCTTAAGCTTTTGAAAGATATTGTTTATTACTCTAGAAGATGAATGTTTCATGAGCCTTAATAGTGTCTAACAACAAAAATGTTTCTTATAACTAATATGTGAAAAATTTTGATTTTGAGTTGCCCCAGGGAAGTACAACAAGGATCTCTGTTGCACATTTCAGTGCAAATTGTAGTTGTCAGCAGAATACAGTGGCAGATAGACACCAATGACCAAACGAGGTTAGTGATTGAATGTCAGTGACACGTAAGTGCTATGCGTAGCAACTATGCAAGAGTTGAATTCAAAAATAATAAATGATCAAAGGGTATAACGGTAATTGCAGGAAGATGATTAACAAAACTCAGTTCATCAGCACTGCTCTCAACGCTCAAAAACAGGCATTAAAGCGCCAATTAGAGAACAAGGGAATGGACCCTTTTAAGGTATTTTTTTCTTAGTATTTTTTCTTTTAAGGTAACAAAAAAAGGAAAAAAATAAAAAAATAATCTTAGTACACTGTATACCAGATTTCAAACCCAGAAACTGAAGGGTATAAAGAAAACATTGGCGGATTTTGAAACCGATATTTTTTGTGTGTGTCTGCTTGCATGTCGAACACTTGCCATAAACCCCTAAATTCAGTTGTGCTGAGTTGTTCGCATTGACAGGGTCAAGGCTATATAAAGTGCCTCGTTGCAGTGTGAATGTGCGAACTTTCTCGGCAGAAAATGGCCGCTCCTAATGAGACTGGCTCTTTGACTGAGAGGAATACAACAAAACTGCTTAAACATATGGGAAGGAAGCTCCTCAAGTACCTGACTTCGGCTGATAAACTTCTGGAACTACTTGATGTAATGTCTCCTCTTGCCTTTCCTCTGTTTTTCATATGCGCATGTATATCTCTTTGGTGGATTTTTTTGTCATGAATTTCACTGTGTCTTCTGAATTGATCATGAATTTTCTATCAATTGGATGATCATTTGTTGAGTGCATTTGTTAGCGGCTTGAGTTTCCCCTGATTGATGCAGATATATGTTTTCTTAACATTTTTTTTTCTGTGATACAATTGTTTGCCTTGATGTTTGGTATTTCTAACCTCAAATGGCTTGGCACCCCCAATTTTGGATATTTTCCAAAGAGATTCTGTAGATTTTAATTTTTTTTCAAAACTATGTTGTGATTGTTTTCAAGGTCTAACTGGTGTTCCACTTTTTCTATAGCATTCAAGTTTTGATTTTTGTTGAAGTTTCTGAGTTGGAGTCTCTTTGGGTCTTAGTGGCTCTATTCATTTGTCTAATGGGGTTTGTTCCTGCAAATCCCCTTTCAATTTCTGACTCATTGGTTGAACAGAATGACTGTCCATCTTGATAAGCCCTTTTGGATGTCCAGAGCCTCCTTTGAAGATCATATCTTTTATTTGAACTGACTTGCTTAATAGAATTAATAGTTAATACTAATGGCATTTGTTGATTCATTGCATAACTAAAGTGAATAAGACTTTTTACTGAGGTAGCACTTGGGTGCTTCCCAGATTCCTTAGGGGGCTATTTTCCCTTGACAGATAGAAATCTGGGATGCCATGTCAGAGAGCTTCACCATGAGGAGGCAGATACATTGGCAAGAGTAAGGCAAAAGACGATGCCTTGCAAATGAAGCCAACTTCCCATCCACCAATGCACTACTCTTTCAGTTTATTGCTAGGATTTTATGGAAAGGAGACTGCACCAAGGACTCACCACCTTAACAAAAGGGAAGGTTTTCCTTGTGTGGTTAGCAAAGCCTTGACCACTGCGTGGCTGTAAAGCATTATGACCATATCAATTTTGTTAACCTGACTCTATCCTCCATATAATGCCTACACTCGCTCAAGAGTCAAGACTTTACACCATCAGCTATCAAATGCAGTCATTAACCTGGTACTAGGAAGCTCACACTTCCTTTCAGCATAGCATGCTTACTCGTCAGGGACCAATCTTACATTAATATCATGGTAGGTATGCCCTTCACCAGAGGGCAGAGAGCAATGTCCTAGGAATTCCTTTTGAACCTTTATAAAATCCTTGCCTTGAACAATGAATGAAACAGACTTCCAAACCAGAACAATAAAATCCCATTTACTCCCAATTGATATGCAAAGGAATTGGGCAGCTTTGCTTCAGATGTTTTGTCTTTTTATTTGTAGTTTTATTTTTCTGTTTCTGTAGGATGTTATGATTCTTCTATTATATAAAAAAGAGGTGACATCCCAGGTGGTGAAGAGGGCAATTGCCAGTGTAATGAGACACGGACAAAGAGTGACTCCTAACAAGCTTCTAGCGAAAGAGACACATGAATGAATTGAATATACACTGTAATGAGAGGGATCCAAGGACTGGATATGCATCAATTGAGTTGAAATAATGAAATGGAATATCAGTTTAACTCTTCTCAATTAACAACATAAATTAGGAGTTTTCCCCATGTATTTTAGCGCTTATAAATGTTGGAACAAAGTTTTAAAAACATTTTTAGTATATGGCTTCCAAGCCTGATTGAAATCTGACCCCCTTTTTCTTTTGGGTTTTCGAACTATTAGAAATTGGAGCTCATATTATCAAGCTTGAATCAAGGACCAGCCAAGCCACTTAAAGAATCACTTGTACATTCAATGAAGGCATTGATTTCTGATGAACTTTTGCACCATAGAGACCAGGGTGTTCAGATTTCAGTTGCATCTTGCCTTGCTGAGATTACAAGAATCACAGCACCAGAGGTCCCTTATAATGATGAGCAAATGAAGGTATTAATTTTAGTCTTTTTTTTATCAAACTAGTGAAGTATTTTGTACAGTGTTTATTATAGAGGATGTTTATGCTTTTTTATACACATTTTTCTTGTTTGAATTAACATATATGGCATTTCATTTCATGGAAAACAGGAAATGTTCAAGGTCACAGTGAGAGCTTTTGAGAAATTGTCTCATGTATCTGGCCATGGCTATGACAAAGCGCTTGCCATACTTGACAATGTTTCAAATATCAGATTATGCTTGGTCATGCTGGACCTTGAGTGTGAGGACCTGATTATTGAAATGTTTCAGCATTTCTTGAGATTTACGAGGTTAGAGCCTTGAGAATATATCTTTTATTTGCTTCTTGTTCCAAACTCAACTGGGTGAAATTTAATATCTCCATTAGGTTTTTCTTTATTTCTGATTAAATATTTAGTAAATGCGCATCATCTCTATAAAATTCCTGTACCCACCTTTTGGTTTCTTTTCTATTTCTTCTAAGTGGATATCTGAGACATTGAAATAGTTGACATTTCAAACAGTTTTGCAATTTTGGTGAAACACATTGAAGTTTATCACATAACGAAAGGATCATATCATCATATTGACGTTTTAATCACGTGTCCATTTTTCTGCACACTGTCCCTGTTAGTTATCCTTGATACATATGATAGACACTTCCCTGTTACTTGGGTGTAAGCTAGGAAGGTAGTGAAGGGAAGCAGGGGAATGAGTGTCATGAGGGTAATGAGGAGAGTAGTAAAGATAATCATTATTGATATTTGAAATGTAACAACTAGAATCTTTTAGAATGAAAGCAATAAGAGGAATGGAGAAGGGATAGGAAGGGGGTGAGTGAGTATTAAGCATGAGGACTAAGAAGCAAAGGGAGGAAGTGGACTCCCAGATCCTGAAGTGTCTGCGGTGTATTTGTTAGATGTAAACTTATTTATTAGTCTTCACCTAACATCTTAAGTGGCTGCCGGCTCATGAATGATATTATATCTTACACTCTATTTTCTTTCCTGCTTTCATTAGTGTTTGGCATCAGTTCTTATACCAATCTCCCTCTGATACAAATATCACCTTGGTCTCAGTAGAAAGTGAAGAAATTTTAGTGAATGTTTTCAGTAAAAAGTGCTCTGTTTTCCTGTGTCCTATCAATTTACTTGAGGGGTGCTTCTGAAGATGAAGCTACTTTCTTGTGAATTCTTTTGTGTTTTACATATCAATGATGAAGCGGGTTACCCAAAGAAATTGGGGCTTTCCTTTTGCAAATAACTTGTAGATGAAACTTTGGAGTTGTTTTACATTAATAAATGCTGATGAAAAAGCAAATCGCTTAACACAAAAAGGAATAGTTAATTGCCTCCCCCCCCCCTTCTTTTAAAAGCTTCATCCACTTCTAGAATTATTACTTAAATTATTTGCTCATTTTAAAGGTCTGACCATCCCCGTAAAGCAATTGACTCGATGGAATCAATAATGACCCTGCTCTTGGCCCAAAGTGAAAACATCACTGTACATCTTCTTAGACCTCTATTAGACAGTGTTAGGAATGAAAATCAGGTAACATGCTTTACATTACATCAATTTCATCTCTTATTCGTTTCTTTCTATTTCTTTTATTTATTTATTTATTTGTTATGTCATGTCCTTCTATTTAACTTTGTCAATCTTGTTTAATCTATTTTCTACAGACTATTTCACCTATTTCTTGGGCATTGGGGGAGAAAGTAATTACCAACTGTGCTGTTACCCTAAAGCCTTTTATGATGAAAGCGGTAGAGCTCTCAGGCAGAGCGCTAAATGAGTATGCTCCAATAGTAACTTCAATCTGCCAGAATGGATCTGAATCCCCTCAATGTGATCATTCAAGTGGTTCTAAGCAGACAGTGGTCTGTTCTACTTGTCCTATGCAATACTATCAGATAAACTGTTATAGCTAATGTTATATTCTTGCTTAATCTCAATATGTTACTTGTCCTTCTATTCTTATTTCTGCAAGTTCTCTAGAACCTTGACTGTTGCTGTTGTAACTTGTTTCATCAGTATGTTTTCTAAGAACTACTGGGAAAAATAAATTAATGTAAGGAATAAAAAATTAGGTAGTGGAAGACAGTAAAACATGGTCAGATTTTTTCTCTTCCTTTTATTTGGGTGGGGGGTAGGGACTCAAATAGCCAATTTGACTTATGCTTCTGATTAAATGTTTCAAATCATAAGCAGACTGGTTCTCCATCGTGAAACATTCCCAAAAGCATATGCATACTTAAAACTCAAGTAGGAAATAAGCAGTTATTAACCATGTCACCTGTGCTCCATTTACTCACAGGAATTTCTGATCAAGTATATAATAACCACTTGACATCTGTTATTGGGGGAGGGGGCAGTATGGATGATGCTTATTTTTAACCCCACTCCTATGTTAACATTTTCATATTTTTGTTGTTATTGGCAACAAGATGTTTCTTGGTTTTAGGCTTTGTGATAGACTGAACTTAGGATTGGTTGTGTTGCAATGCTTCAGGTTCAGGTGGTTGAGGACAAGTTTGATGTACCTAAAGATGCATATGAACAACCGTCTGATGTAAATTATCTTTTGCCTTTCTCATTGTGTTATTTGAATATTAATTTTTCCTTTACAATTGTAATGCTTGCTTCATTAAAGCATCTATCAATGTTAATGCAATAACTTTTAACTTCATTCTTAATTAGGCAACCAAGGGACACGTACTGGATATTACTTGTGAAAGGGATGTCCTGATTATGGATGACACAAAAAGCATAAGAAGTGCTGGTGCTTCTACAGATGGTGAAGCTATAAAAAAGTCTGGTTCAAAAATGAAACCAGGTTCTGAAATTTCTAAGAACTCCAAAAGAAGCAATGGAAGAAATAATTTTGAAACTAGCAATTTAGAGTCCATTCAGGAAGCAAAATCAGAATCTCAGCTGACTATTATGCCAAGGAAGAGGGGCCGTAAGCCGAATTCTTTAATGAATGCAGAGGAAGGCTATGATCGCTCTTGGATTTATCCAGGAACAAAATCCAGAAAATCAGCTGTATCCAGAAAGGCTCGCAATAGCAGCACTGCTTTTCCACCTTCTGATAAAATTACTTCCAGAAGAAAGGATAAATTGCATCCAAAGCCTAAAACTGTTAGTGAAGCTCTAGTTTCTGAGCAGAAAAGTGAGAAGATAACAAAATCTGTCCAATCCAGGACTGAAGATATTGGCAGCGACTGTCCACCTTATGAAAACCTTGCTTCGGACATGGAAAATGTGCTGTCAAAGCCCGAGGAAACAAGCAAAGGTTGTGAAGCTTTAGCATTTAAACATAAAATTAGTGAGAATACCAATGCTGCTGCTTTTTTTACAAATAATGACATTCCTGATGGATTCCACACCAAAGGAGGTCGACGAAGGAAAATAAAAAACACTGGGAACCAGGATATTTTTCCTAGTGCTGTCTCAATGCTAAAGGAAGACAAATTGAAGCCTTTGCTTCAGGAGACTTCTTTGGATTCACCAAGGGTTGAGTTGCAAAAGGAATCTGAAGTAAAACCTATTAGAAAAATTATATTTTCTATGAAGATTGATGGAAAAACTGCTGCAGCTCCAGAATTGGTAGTTGCTAAGACAGAACCAATTTTTTCTTGTGGAGATGAGGGGAAACATGAGTTAGGTACAAATACTGAGTTAGCAAATATTGAAGGAGACAGGTCCTCAGCTCAAACAAAAGTTGAGAAAAAGTGGAGACTTAATGTGACTCCTAATAAAGGTCTCAACAAATCATCAGCTGTTAAGGTATAGTGAGTGTTGCAAATCTTCTAGAACAACACAATATTAGGAAAATCTCACATATTTTGTCTTTTGGGGTCCATGTTGTTACCACGGTACAGGAGCTGAAAATAGAGTCTGCAAGTAAAACATTAAATGGAGTCGAGGAAAATTCGCAAGCAAGGCTGAGGAGAAGGCACAGCAATGTCAGTGTAGAGGTTTGAAATCTAGAAAAGTTATTGTTCAGTTTTTTCTAATAAACCCCTTGAGATGTCCCATTTCAATTTTTATGAGACTCTATACTCTTCTTTGGTTTACTCTTGAAGGTCCTTAACATGTTATACTCTGTAAGATTCTTTGCCAACTGTACTAGCAAGTTGATATGCCTTGGAAAAGCTAATGTCAGTTTATTGCTTTCCTATTGTTGCTTATGACTTCATAAAAAGATTATATCTCTTGGTACAGTCTCTCACTCTCTCTCCCTATGTGTGTGTGTTTGACCACTGTCAACTGTAAAATTTCTACCCTAGTCTCCTTACTACTACATAGTGATAGCGATCTAAACTAATAAAATGACTTATAAAATTTGACATAACATATGCTTTTCAGGCTTTTGACAGAATAGTTTGAATCAGATTATTTTTCCACTTGTTAAATTTCCTTCAAATTTATACCCTATTAGCCTGTGCTCAATAAATTATTGTTCACTTTATTTTTTTTTTCTTCAGGCATCTGAATCTCGTAACCCTGATAACTCATTGGTTGGTAGTAGAATCAAGGTCTGGTGGCCAATGGATAGAACGTAAGTATTGCAGTAGCATATTTTTCAATGTAATTTTATCTTTTCATTCTTCAGTTACCAATTTCCAGACTTCCTCTGTCAATACTCAATAAAGTTCTAATTGCATGTTATTTTTGTTGGTGGGGGTAGTTAAAAGAAAATTAATTGCAAAGGTTTATAATTGATACCTTGTTTTTAAATTTTCAGACTTCAAAATCACCATCTTTACAGTCTTACAAACTCATTGAAAGGCTTATACAATAGTTGCATATGCTTGCGAAAGTAGAGTGAACTGTGTAGGTACTTATAGTCATCCACTATCTCTTTTCTCTAGGTTGGCCTATTAGATTGTGTTAGACCTTTGAATTACGAAACATGCTTGGTGATTTAGTAAAGAATTTGAATCAGATCATTTTTTTTTACCTTTAGAGCTACATGCTATGTTGTGGAAGTTTTTGCACTTTAAAGATATGAGTAAGTTGTTATTTAATATTTTGCCTAAACCAAGTACCCACCAGATGTTTATCTTGTTTCATAATGTCAGTTTCAGTTTATCCACACATGCGCCTGCTGCCTGCTTTATTATATCCAGTAATTTGTGCATGTATAATTCTTTACTTCAGGTTCTATGAAGGTGTTGTCGATTCTTATGATTCTATCAAAGGAAAGCACAAGGTGAGATGTCTGTTACTGATCTTATTTTGAGACTTATTAGCTCTAGGATTTGTTGATGCACCTTTGCATAATGCATATGTAGGGTTTTTATATTGGTACTTATTTGGAATGCATCATGTTATTCTTTATGCCAAAACAGCATAACATTTTGATTGAACATACTCTAATCCGTGAAACAAACAGTTGCATTGAGTCTGATAATATCCCGGTGGCAAATGACCTTTTAAACCATTCTTATTTTCAATCTTACTTATTCTGTGATAAATTTTATTTTTCTTTACTGGGATTTGCAAATACCAAGTTCAACTTAGTTAAAGACTTCAACTATGTAAGACTTTTATTTATTGATGTGCCTAGTTTCTCCTCATGAAAGTGGGCTTAAGGGACTGAGTTTAAGAAATTGTTTTCTGTTCTCATTACTCACTTTCAGTAATAAAAAAAAAAGGCTACATTTTTTTCACCTTGCTTTTGTTTTCAAAAATTTGTACATGAAATAAAATCAGCAAATGGTTTCTCAAACCAAATAGGTCCTAATATTTCTTTCTGATGGCTTCCCTGATGTAAAACCCATTTTCTAAGTTAGATGAATACAGAAGAGCTGGAATTTAAAACCTCCAGCTACTTTACTGTGACATGTACTGCCTTACTAGTGAGTTGATTGGAAAATGTTATTCTCATCGTCTCATTTTTTTCACACTCTTTTCATGCTCAATTATTTAAAACAAAAAGTAATAGTTGAAATTCATGTATATATTATTAAATAATTATTAATGTGAGTTAGACTAATACTCATTAACTTGAAAAGCACAAACCATGAATAAGTTTGATAATTATAAATGTTAATATTTTGAATTGCTTTTCAATAGATTTTGTATGCTGATGGGGATATTGAAGTGTTGAACCTCAAAAAACAGCGCTGGGAACTAGTTTCTGTTAATGTTTCATTAGATAAGGTGAGTGTAAAGTTCTGATGCTTATCTAAGTATTGTATTTGTATGTACATGTATGTGCATGCACGCATGTTTCTGTTGATTTTTCATTAGATGAGGTGAATATCAAGCTTTGATGCTTATTTAACCATTGTATGTACACATGGGTGCATGTTATATGATATCATACTATAAATTTAATTTATGAATACGGATGTTCTGCTACCAGGAAGGAGGACTTGCACTTCAGAAGCTTGCAGAAGCATCAGACATGTAAGTATAATCTGGTCTGAAGGACATTAATGCCTAATATTATTGGTACTGTATTATGATTTTCTCTCTAAAAACCAAGATACTTCCTTGGACCTTTATCAATTATCTACAATGCGATAGTTTTGTCATAGGGCAACTGGTAGGATAAAATTGGCTTGAGCCCATTGTCATGATTGCCGTCCGTATTAATGAATATTGGGTTTTGTTGTGCATTATGTTTTACTTCTGCAAGAGCAAGATTTATCAATGAGTAGCTCTTTATCTAGGGGCTTCATATCATTTGAGCCCTTAAGTCTAGAGACAATTGAATTAAAACACTTCAGTGATCTCATAAGAGTAAAGGACCTCTCCTGTTTTGTCCAAATACTTATGCCTTCCTTGAACAATAAATACTTCTCCACCACATGCAATTAGTCCTACATAATAATGAGGTCATTGTTGTGCCGTTTGGTAGCCCAAATAACTGGTTATTAGTATAATCTCTTCACCAGCAGGTTTACCTTGTGGGACTCTTTATCTAAGTATCTCTATAATACATTTCAGATGCTTTCAAATTTTGCCACTGACAGAGCACTGTTCTTGACTTCTCGTCTTTTTATTTCTTTGTAACTTTATATTCTTACTAAATCAATGTGCAGGCTTCTGCCATTTTCTCTTTTCCAATCCAGTTTCAATTGAAAGTACCTTAAATCCCTTTAACTATGTCATATCTATAACAGACAAACTATCTTGGATTTCATACCCTTGACTTTATCTTATATGATTGCTACATTGGTGTCCTCAATTAAGTTCAATGGATCTTTCTTTCTCATACTGTCAAGTTATTAATGATGTCCAGAGCCGAAAAAAGCAAAGAAAAATCAGAAATGGAGCCAACCAAGGGTGCAAAAATCAAGTCTCGGTCCAGGTTAGTCTGCATGCTAGGCAACATTTTTAGCACTTAACTAGTCTTTTATTTGGATCCTTATTGAAATGTTTTAATGGATCATCAGGGGTAGAGCTTCTGCCAGCATTCCCAAATCGGAATCCATAAAATCTGCCGTCAAATCTGTGGATACTTCTGTTGTTGACCTACCTGCCTTGGCTGATGAATCCATTGATGATCCACCTAGAACAGTTGGGGGGAAAGACTCTGTGAGGAAGCCTAAAACCAAAAAAATAAAAACTGGTTCAGACATGAAAAAGAACAAATCTGAGACTGATGACCCTGAAAAGGAAAAAGCGCAAAGGGCTTGAATTTTGCTGTAAGGAAATGTGTCAGAAAGATGAATGAGGGCATGAAAGAAGGTTACTAGATTCTTGCCTCAATGTACTGAAGCTGTTCAGTGTTTATTAGTTGGCTCTAAAGCTCATAATTTTGGCTTTACCATAGTGATTATCATTTTGGTCTGTTTTGTTTCATAGTTAATATCAAAAACCCTGCAAATTGGTCAGTCTTTAGCATGCTTTGATATATTATGGTGTCTAAGATTATATACTGCAAAAGGTTTTGTTTTGCACCCTTTTTAGAACTTGGTTCCATATAGGCAAATGATGTCATCTATTTGAAGTAGAAGGGTTTGTTTCATTCCTATTGATTGGAAAGACAAGTATTTCTTCAATAAGAGAGGAAATGATTTCTATGCAGTTCACCTTTGATCCCGCATGGTAAGGGACTCACTTCATAGGGTTAAATGATGAATGTTTTTTAGGTCGCTCAAAAGTACCAAACACACTCAACTTGCTTGATTTGCTAAAATAAATAAATAAAAGAGTGGACACAGCAAAAGTATTTGTTTCATGTTTGATTTTGAAAAATGGACACGGGGACAACAGGAGATGAGGACAGGATAAAACTCTGAAATTTTGTTATTCACTAAATTATGAGACAGTGAGGAAGTTAAAATTTATTAGAAATTATAAAAATCATGTAGGTTTTATTTTTTTTTTACTCTTAATTTAATATTTTTTTCTTATATTTTTGTAGTTTTTAAATAAATTTTAATCAATAAATAATAAAAAAATTATGTTTGTGTTACTTATATTTTTTTTAACATTATTTCAAAGATAAAAATAACCAACCCACTTTCTTATTACTAACTCTTTCCCCATTACTTAATATCTTGAAGATTATACAACACAATTATTTGTTGTGCATTAGCTAATATATATATATATATATATATATATATATATATATATATATATATATAATACACACCTTTTATATTTTGCTAAAATTAGGTATGTCAGAAAGGATATTACTTCTATGCTAACAGTAAGTGTTGTAAAACGTGTGCTTTTTCAAGGGACAACGGAGATAATTTTTCTCAAGTAAGTAAGTTCTACATAAATTACAAATTAGTCTAAAACTTATGGTTGAGTGTTTACAGTATAATATAAATATTTTGATAATATGTAATAAGAGAAACATGAAAAAAAAATTACTCTTTTTAATAGGTGAATTTCGGTACCAGTTCTATCAATAGATTAACTTATTTAGTGAAAGTAATGTGAGATTTTATTTAATAATAGAAAATTAAAATCTAATTATTTCTAGAACATGTTGCGCAGTTCTAGAAATAATTTCACAATATGTCATACGTGCAAACATTTAAAGTTATGCACAAGAAAAATGAGAAAAACGATTTTTCAGCACCATCACATATGCTAAGGTTCAATTTTGCTAAATTGAAAACAATGGAAAGTGCAGCATGATGGGGTCAAATCCATGCTGTGGTTTGATGTTGTTGACATAGGCTTAAGTCAAAAGGCCATAAAATATACTCACCAAACCTTCTGAAAACAAAAGCTAGTTTCCCACTTTCTCGCCATGTGGCTTTTATTGGGTTGGGGTTGTTGTTGGGTTTGATTTTGGGCCGTACTTTGATGCTTGACTTTGAATCTCTCAACGCACCAACCCAAGTCCAAAACAGCACCTTTGTCTTTCCCACTTAACTGCAAAAGAATCAGTAGAGCATGATTCTTTTCCCACCCATTTCCTCTTTGGATTGTCCATAGGTAGATTTCACTTGACCAATGTGTCTACAAAGTGGAGAAAATTTGCAAAGTCTTTGTGATCGTTGCTCATTACATCACCTTTTTTATTATTATTATTTTGGTATAAAGTCTTTTATGATAAATATGGGCAAACTAACATTGTAAAATAATGCTACTAGTTGAAAAACGTGGGGGGTGAATTCCACTCTCCAGCTATCTTCTTTCTAGCAAAAATTAAAAGTGTGTTTTGTGATTTGTCAATTAGCCACAAATTAATCAAATGTTAATGATGATTCACAGTGTTTGTGGAAATTGATTGTTTGACAAATTTTAAAACATTGATTTATTTTCATTAATATTGACCAACTTTGAAGCCAATTATATTATCATGTTCTAGAACATGCAACTTAATTAAATACTTAAAAGGAGAGTTTTGTCTTCAATAATAATCTTAACCTCTCAAACAGACTCAACCAGTTTTTAATCGAGAAATTGACGTGTGAAAACAAAAACCACCTAAAATGGAGATCATGAGCTGCTCAAGAAAATGGGAGCAGTGGATTGCTTTTCGATGATCAAGTTGGCATGTCTTTGGTTAGAAGCATTGTTTGTAAAAGGGATGATGGAAATGAAAGTATGAAAAAAGGGAATTAATTAAGCTGTAAGCATTAAGATGCTAAACGTGGGTTAAACAATTAAGTGTCTTATTATTTAATACAGAATTACAGATAATGCCTTTTTGTTTAAGTGAAAATTGCCAGTTTTAGTTGCATAATAATGATTTAGAGGGCTCAATTATTGTCAGATATGCAATGCGCGAATGTAATATTAGTAATCTTATTTAAGATCTTTTAATTTAAACCTATTTGTTTTAATATATTGGAAGAGTTTTATTTAGAATAATGTTATATCCTCTTAACTTGTTTCATTACTAATCCTTTAGATATTTTATTAAAAAATTTTAAAAAAATAAATATTTTTAAAAAATGTGAAACATTTTATATATTTTTTTCTCATCTGATAAATAAGAGGTTTAAATGTGAAAAGAAGATATAAAAACATCTCCAATGGTAAAATTTGTCAAAGTTGTTTAAATTTTATGTAAATCCTATAATTAAAAAATTCCTAACTCTAATTAAGAAAATCTCAAAAATAATGTCAAATAAGTCCCAGAAATTTCTTTATATTTTTATAAATTTTTAATGTTTGTTAATTTTAAATTTTACTGTTTAATTCTATATATTTTTTAAGCAATAGTTATTTAATTAAGAAACTATCCTTAAGGGTACCTTACTAATTATAGGTTACAAAATAATGATTTCCAGTGAGCTCCACTGACGTGAGATGCTAAATGAGTAGTTTATGTTGGGTAATTCAGAGGGGAAAAAAAATCTTTCGTGATTTTGTGCAGGTTGCACTATTGTAATGGTTAAATTATTTTAAATAGTTTTTTAAAGATATATTTAAAGACACACTAAAAATTTATAGAATTTTTAATTAAATTATAAAATAAATTTGATTTAAATATATTGACTGTGTAAAAAAATAATACTATTATTCAATTATAATTTCTCATATTAGTAAGAATTATTAAATTTTATAAAATATTATGGCATTAAATGAATTAATTACATTAAATTTATAATTTTTTAAAAATTATTATTCATTAATTTTATTGTATATTCTTAGATATATATTAAAATCTTATATTTCTATCTTTTGTCGATGTTTATTTTGAAATATTTTTTTTCTTTTGTACCATTTATTAGAAGATAAAATAAAATGCCATTTATGCCAAATGTACAAACTTTGATGGTAGAATATCAATATTAGTTTATTGTTTTGGTTTTGTTTTTCCTATATTAAAGACTTATTCCTCATTGATTTAAGAGTAATAAAATGATTACAAGAGAGTTCAAGTTATTCAAGTAACTCAATAACCACGTCTTCAAGAAATACACACCATCCTTCTTAATTATTCTTTTAACATAATAGTATTTTAATTTTGTAACTATGTTTCTATATTTATATTATTGATTTATAATAAATATAAAATATGATGTTTAAATTTCTAACTTTATGTGCTTACTTGCTACTAGTGTAATTACATTACTTGAGAATGCTAATTACAGCAATTTATTTTAATACAATCGAATTCCTTCTTGATAAGCAAGTGTAGAGTAACTTCTTGTGCTTGAAATATTTACCCCTCGTTTACTTTGCTTAAACTTATGGTTGGATGGAGATAAAAGAAAGAAAATAAAATGTTCAAAAATTAAAAAATTATACTTTTTGAATAAATAAAAGTAAAGAGAAAAAAATAAAAAAAGGAATGAAAATCAAAATAAAAAAATTCTAATTTTTTACTGTTTATTTTTTTATCCTCTCATTTAAACAAGAGAGGAAACTTCTTCAATATGAACAGCCATTTATTGGATAGAAAAAATATCACAAAAAAACGCATGCAGAACTACAGATTACGTTACTTACGCTTTTATTTTGGGTCAAATCAATTTAAGCTGAAACCGCGTTCTGAAACCGCGTTTACAATTTAACGTTAATAGGGTGTTTGGATTAGTATTTACAGCGTGTTTGGTTGTGTGTTTTCATTCAAAACTATTCACGTGCGGCGTCTCAACGCTACAATGATGAGCGTCCAGTTAAACGCAACTATGACTTGCTTTTTAACGCGTAACCAAACACATACTAAATAATCTCCTGAAGGAATTGTATAATCCGGCATACAGTGTCTTTAAAGTTAATTTCTTTTAAGTGGTTGAAATTTGAGATCATTTTATATAGATCAAAATATAATGTTTTTAAAATATTTATGAAAATACGAGATTAAAAAATTTCAAAAAATGTAAGGATATATTTAAAAATCTTTAAAAATTATAAAAAGTTAAATTTTATTAAAAGTAATTTTTACAAATAATAAAAAATTTAAAAATAAAAATTGTCAGTTATAATTTTTAAAAAAAATAATTTTTGAAAAGTTCTCATGTTTTTATAATTTTTTAAAGTACTATATTTTGATAATTTTTCTATTTTTTATATATAAAAAGCCTGAAACTCTTGATTTGATGTATAAAAAATATTTACCCAGAAGATAAGATTTATTTTAATTTTATAATTTACTTGTTATAAAAGTGATTGGAATACTTTCATGTGCACTCAATATATATCTATTTATTGTTATTATTTTCATTGTTATTACCCAACTCTATTCTTCTATGTTACTTCAATTTAAAATTTCCAAAATCAAAAGGTTCTCTCTCTCTCTCTCTCTCTCTCTTGAAGGAAAAGCATAAAATGAAGAAGTCTTTAATCTTCAAATTAAAACATATTGCGTTGCATTATTCTCCCTAAACTGGGAAAGATAATGCTTTAACACGATCCACTTCAGTTGCCTCTTTGTCTTTAATTTCATAATAATAGTTTTTATGCTTCCCAACACTGTTCTCATAAGTAAGCCTAGCAAACCGGATCACACCGACCAATTCAATAATTATGTTCCCTCGCATATAAAAATGTAAACAAATTTAAACTAAGAGTGAAAAAATACACTAATCGAAGACATAATTGCTGTAGATGATCCCTTTATTTTCTTTTTCCTTTTTTGTAGCATTATTTTGTTTAATAATATTAGCATCACGCACTCAATAAATAAGGAAACCCAAGGCCCACGTGAGTGACTCATTAGATAAGATAATTTGGAAATAAATAGGAAAAAAATTAAAAATAATAGGTGATAAAAAAATAAAATAAAAGACACAATATGTTAAATAAATATTAATACATTTTTTAAAATTAACATAGTTATATTTACTAAGACTTAACACATTTAGAATATATATATATATATATATTCCACGAAGATTAGGTGGGGCTATAGGTTTATAAAAGGGCATCGTTGTGCATATTGCTTTGTGCAACTCTCAATAAGCAGCATCGTCTTTGAAGAGCACATTGATCATTGCGAATCGTTCTCTCTGTTTTTCCTTTCTTCTATATTGCACATTCACCAATTGATAATTTTTTTTAATCAAACAAAACAATGCCCGCTGATCACACGTCACCAGTTTCCGGTCAAACGGTGTGTGTCACCGGCGCCGGCGGGTTCATAGCCTCTTGGCTTGTCAAACTTCTCCTTGAGAAAGGCTACACTGTGAGAGGAACCGTGCGAAACCCAGGCATGCACATAATCTCTTGCATGTTAACTAAATTAATTTGCATTAATCAATTATTTATATATTTAACGTGGGATATGCTATGCATAATAAATATATTTCTGACATTATGTGAGTATATGGGTGGATTAATTTTGATTTGATTATGATCAGATGATCCCAAGAATGTTCATTTAAAAGAGTTGGAAGGAGCGAGGGAAAGGCTAACTCTGCATAAAGTTGATCTCTTTGATATTCAATCTATCAAAGCTGCTGTCAATGGTTGCCACGGGGTTTTCCACACTGCTTCTCCGGTCACTGACAACCCTGTCAGTTTTCTCTTTAGTCTTTCTCCTTTTGTTTCATATATTTTTGGGTTGGATTTATTTTTATCTTTATCTGATCTTAAATTTAGTAACTTTGTTTTTCGAGTTAAATTATCAGAATCTCTGCATATCCTTCATATATTTGCATGGTTCTCTGTCCCGAGTGCAAATGAAGCTGGATTATTACTTCTTAATTTATTAAACAGGCGTTCAGTTTAGTTTATTTCATTAAATAAGTAGATTTGAATTTAATTTAATTTTGATCAAACAAGTTACATGTGAAGTTTTATATTTTCAAACAAAATCTAAAATATATATTTATGTGAAGTTTAGAAGTTTTTTTACCTGTTTTTTCCTATGCAGTTAAACCCACCCCTATGATTGAGACATCTACTAGCACTGAACTTGGCAAGTGATAAATGGCACATTGGTCAACTGAATTAGAACTTTCGGCATATTTTTATCAATCTTAGTAAAGTTTAGGATTTAAGAATGTTAAACATCCCAAAGTTCCCAACCGCCAACAATTGTTTTTTGTTTTCTTAACAAGTGGACACAACACACGCTGAACTGTTCTGTCACTCTGATACACACATTTCGCCATTTCGCCCCAAAAAGCTAAAAGTTAAATGCGTAATTTTAAATTTCGATTTTATACAAAATTGACGATACAAAAAGTAATTGAGATGAATAATTTGTGTTATGATGTTCAGGAAGAGATGGTGGAGCCAGCAGTGAATGGAACAAAAAATGTGATCGTAGCAGCTGCAGAAGCAAAGGTGAGACGCGTGGTCTTCACTTCATCAATTGGCACAGTGTATATGGACCCCAACACGAGTAGAGATGCGGTGGTTGATGAGTCATTCTGGAGTGATTTGGAGTACTGCAAGAACACCAAGGTGAATTCCATTTTTTATTGATCGGTCAAATGCACAGTGTCAACAAGTTGTTCATCTTGTTGCCCATTAATTCAATGACTTCAAGTTGTAGCCTAGTAATATGTGCATTACGTGACCTTTTAGGTAGGAGTTAGAACTGTCCATGCTACAAATATATGAAATGGGTGTTTTAATAATCAAATGAAAATAGTTGGCTAAAACCCTTTTTATTATTTTTATAATCGATTTTTGACATGTTCAATATTATTAATTTTTATTGAAAATATAGTATTTTAAAATTATATAATTTTTACATTAAAAAACATTTTAACAAAATTAACTGACCCTTGATACGGGGTAATTCTAAGTTGATGAGGGTTAATTTGCAGAATTGGTATTGCTATGGGAAGACAGTGGCTGAACAAGCAGCATGGGATATAGCAAAAGAGAAAGGGATGGACTTGGTTGTGGTGAACCCAGTTTTGGTTCTTGGACCATTATTGCAATCCACCATTAATGCTAGTACGATTCACATTCTCAAGTACCTTACTGGCTCAGCTAAGACTTATGTAAACGCCACTCAGGCATATGTCCATGTCAGGGATGTGGCATTAGCCCACATTCTTGTTTTTGAGACACCTTCTGCTTCCGGTCGATACATATGTGCAGAAACTTCGTTGCATCGTGGTGAGCTAGTTGAAATTCTAGCCAAGTTTTTCCCCGAATACCCAATTCCTACCAAGTAAGTGTTTCTTATCATTTCTCTTAATTAGTATTGTTTTTATTAGTGAACAAAAGATCCAAACAATCACAGTGGATTGATTATGTTGAAAATTACCAAGAATGTGTTGGTAACTTTTTTGATAAAAAAAACTCATTAACATTTGTAGGATGCATAAAAAAGTTATGGATCTATTACATTTTTTCGGCTCGAGAGGGAGAATAGAAAAGCATGAATGTGAAACATTTTGTAGACTAATTCAGAGTTGTAGGTGTACCAAATTTGACTTTAGGAGGGTCGAGTCAATTTGAAATCTAAGCCTTCAAGGAATTCAATGTTTCTTTTGGTAAAAACGAGTGGAGCTAAGATTTTAGCTACCAAACTTTTGTCCTTGTACGAACCCTCCAGAGCCCTCAAAATTTTGAGAGTGTATTTATTTGAAAAGTATAAAATGAAAAGCATGGGCAAGTGACATGCTTTCATATTTGGCTTGGCAGAATATGATATAATAGGAACATGTGTTAACGATTGATAGAAAATAAAGAAATTATTTCCCTCAAAGAAATACTTTTTGTGGTTCTGCCCATGTCCCTGTTATTAAACCTAAGTACCCCTTAGATATTATATTTTTGTTTTGACTTAACGTGGGGTTGTTGTTTTCTTCAATGCCTTTCACTTTCAGAGAGATTGGAACCTACCATAATATATATATGTTTCATTTCACTTGTGCAGGTGTTCAGATGAAAAGAATCCGAGAGTAAAACCTTACATATTTTCAAATCAAAAGCTGAAAAATTTGGGATTGGAATTCACCCCAGTGAAGCAATGTCTATATGACACTGTTAAAAACCTTCAAGAGACTGGCCACCTTCCTTTGCCTCCAAAGCCAGAACACTCCTATTGAACTTAAATCCTAATTAACTAGCTAGATTGCCATTGATCAAGAACTTTAGTTCGGGCACAAAGAAATTTTTATTTATTAACTGATTTTATTTTTAATTTTATGAAATCCTAAGTAGTATGTATTTTGAATTTGTAAGACACGAATCTTGCAAATGTTGCCTTGTGTTGTACCAAAGTATTGTCGCCTTGAGTAGAATTGATAATATTAATGAATTTTTACATCTTTTTTGTTTCTCTTTTCATCAATTTTTCTTTTTCTGTCTAATTCTTCCTTGTTCCTCTTTGAAGTCCAAGCAACGTTCGTATAATTAGACATTAACATTTAATTGGTTTTTCTTCACTAAGATTTTGTATTTTGTAGTTTTCAAAAAGGGGTAATGAAAAGAACAATAATAATAAGGTAACGAGAAGTTTGACTGTTTTAGTAATAAAAAGTCATAACCTTCTAAATAATCTATAAATTAACTTGTATCTATCTCTACCACTTTCTCTCAATCTGATAATCAAATACATACTTCTTTAAGTCACGTGAATAAGAATAATCCAAATAAAAAAATTGTAAAAATATAAAGATAAAAATATTAAAATGAATAAAATAAAAAATTCGTTAAAATATATGACAAAAAAAACTAATGCATATCGATTAGCCAAGAGAAGTGAGTCCTCCGATATAAGAGGTTTCAGGTGGTGGATGATGGTAATGTTTAGCTGTAAAATGACTCTTTAAGGAGAGGTATTCTTTAAAAAAGAAACACTCAAATGCTTAAATTAGAGAAAATTTGGCCAAAATGTGTGTGTAGTCATGAAATTATTTTTATAATGTGTTTTTATACAATTTTACACCCTTCACTTTTAACATGTATTTTTAAAATAAATATATAATAAAAAGTATACATAATTTTACGTACGATACTAATTATTAGTTATTTAAATAATATCACTGTTGTCCTTTGGCACAAGGAAAAGAGAAACTATATATGCTAAATAATATAACATGAGAGCTGGTTGTCTTTTCAGTTTGTATGAGTGATATTAACCTTCTTAATTACTGCAAAATTTGATTTTCTAATGTAAAAGAAAATAAATAAAAATTTGTATTCAACCGCATAATTTGAATCTTCTCATCATATTAAAGAGGAAAAAAACAAATTTACTCAAATAAAAATTTACAATAATTAAACGTAAGATTCACTTATTAAATTTGATATCCTATGTTTAGAAATACGCAAAAAAAAATTATAAATATATACATAAATTTAACAAAGAAATTATAATTAATAGTATTGGAATAAATGTGAATAGATAATTATTTAGACATTAATTTAAATATGTCAAAAAATTCTGCATTTCTTTTTCTCTTTAATATTATCATCTCATGTTACTCAATTACATGAAGATTCACATCATTCCACATTAAGTTTCATGGCTATCCCCTTGGAGATCTGCATCATTAAAATCCCAACCTCCACCTTAGAGGCTAAGAGGTTTGGTTAAGTCCAGGCAACTACTTCTACAAGATGAAAATTCTCTGTGAAAATCGCTGCCTGTGTAATTTTCTGTCTTATTATTTGTTTTCATGTTGGATCCAACTTCAAGAGATGTTTAGTGCATGTTTAGATAGTTATAAATCTCTGCTTACTTTAATAATATTATTATTATTAGTTATAAGTTTTGCATTGAATTCATGTTTATAAAACTTTCATCGTAAATTTAAACACACAGTGAGTAGCAACAACTTGTAGCTTATCCATATGCCAACTTAAAAACAAACATTTTACTCTCTGAAATTAATTACTTATTCATACTAATATACACATAACCTATTTCTAGGCCTAGTTGTTATTTTTTTCACTTTCACGTGGCAATGCCTTCGAAGTTCAAAACCAGTGACAGCCAACTTGACAACGAGGAGAAAAACAATCTAATCATCTCCATCTGACAACAACATAGGGTACAATAATAGTAATTTTCAGTTAACATTGGCAAATGCTTACAAATTAATAAAATCGCGTTAAATTATATTTTAATATAAAAATTATAGCTTACAACATTAAAATAATTTAAGTTGACCCGGAAAAAAACACACTATTAATCATGCATGGTCCTATAATGAAAATTTGCCCACACTTAAAAATCTTGAAAAATCTCCAATGATGCTACAAAGGATGATAATTTGCTATTGATTATGAGCAACTTGGTATAACAAAGTGGAAATTAAGGATAACAAAGTATTTCCAAGCAAGCGCCCACTTCTATTTCAAGAAAATGGTTGTTAAGATAAGCATTACATGAATAAATTAAATGCTTCAGCAATTCCAGCCATGTGATACCAGAATCCATGCTCATCAATAATCCAAAAGAGATCCTTATCTTCTGCAAAATTATGTTACCAACAAATAATATATACACATCACATCTGTTCTCTTTTGCATATGTTCAATTTGTACAAATTAACATAAAATAGGATCTTATTTATATATCCCTTAGACAAAAGCTTCACGATCTTGCTAATCTACCTAATTGAAATATTTCTTAGTAAAATTCTGCTGGACTACTTCTTTGGGGTAATTGCATGCTTATTATGTCTTCTCTTGGGAGACTATACATTGATACATTGCCTTGTTCATTTGCTATTTGCTGATCTTCCGGCATGTCAAGTGCCACAAGGTGCGTAGCTTTTTTATTTTTGCGAAACACTAAATAAGCAATGCCAGCCATATACACTGCCACACCAGAGATTCCTAATATCCCCAGAAACACTTTAACAACCATTTTTAAGTGACTGTGAAGAAGCAACTTGACGAAGCTAGTCAATAAATAATATATATTTATGCCCATAATGAGGGAACCAATGATCCAAGTAACCGTCGAAATCTGCAATTGAAGTATTTATAGAAAATCATATATTAGACAAGATACAGAACATGACTTTTTAGTAGTTTCCTGACACGTGACTTTGTTGCATGAAGCAACAGCAACCTTTTTTAAAATCAATTTATTTCAAGAATTATGACTAATTGAAGTCAGATAAAACAAAAGGAAAAATTGTGTCTAGTTCAAATTTAAGTAACTAGTACACGTGCATTTCTGGCTTTCAGAGGACAATGCACGTATAAACATTTTGACATTTGTTAAGTTGGTAATCAATTTACTATTTGTAACAAATTTCAATTTTCATGATATCAAAAAATTTACCGTGATTGAGTTGACATGCACTCCCATCTTGGTTTTACTGCTAGTGAACTTGAGAAGTGGAATCAAAGCAAAAGGAAGCTCAAATGATAAGATCATCTGATCAGCATAAATTGAAGGACTTCAGCACAAACTATAGCATAGCCAAAAATAATCTCAGAGGGTCAATTGTATAATCATACACATGATGCATCAATACAGGCATTGCAAAATGATGTCATGCATACAAGATTGATCATAGCACACAAGTGGAGCTTACAATGCACAAGATGTATCAATACACAATCTGACAGGAACTACAGTTCATTCCATGTATGCAAAATTGTTCACTAACAGCAAATTATGAAATTAGTATCAACGAGACACACATTACTCATGTAAGCATATTCAATCATTTAATATATACAATACTAATTTGATCATTTAATATTATAAATATTTTTGAAATAAAATATAAATTTAAGACGTATAACTACTTGATGATAAGAGACAGATATCATAATGGTAATGTATTCTTACCGATGCAATTATTATGAGCTTCCCAGCTCCAGCAGAGCCACCAATGAGTGCAACAATCAAACTAGGAACAATGGCTAAGCAACGAGTTAACAGATTCCTAATCCATGACTTCAGTCGAAAATCGAGAAATCCCTGAAATAAGACAGTAATTATGGGGAAAATGCAAAGTAGAAAATACTCGTAGCGGTCATTATCCAAGTGAACTGAAGGTAATTTTGATAATTATTAATCTCAAAGTTTATTAGGGACATTTAGTCTCCATCATTAAAGCTCTAAAACAATAAGACATGTTGGTATATAATTGAATATGAAAATACCAAAATAAATGGCTGCTTACCATGCCTTCATATTTTAACCGCCCTCCTTAAATTTTCAATTGAGACTCAAATTACAAAATGTTATACAAGGAGTTATCGTACGTGAGTTATCATATGGTGCAATAGATAAACTATTGTTTCATTATACTAAAGATAAGCAAAATTACTCCTTTTTACCCAGATACACACACTAAAATTTTTAAAATAATAATTATACCTGCATGACGTATTGCCCTGCATATGTTCCTGTTATAGTTGAACTTTGACCTGACGCAAGTAAAGCAACTGCAAATAGTTTTGAACTCCATTTTCCCAAGACATTCTGAATGTAGCCCATATAAAAAAATTATTATCAATAGTTTATTATTAAGGTGGTGTCACATACAATAAATAAAATTTGATTACAGTAGAATATATAAGAAGACATATGATGGAATTACATACTCTTAATAGAAATGAGGCTTTGTTCAAATCCAAATCCTGACAGCTAACTTGATCTTCAGCACTTAAGTTTGAAGAATTGCAAACTGAACCACTAACCGAAATAACTGAAATGTTTATGAGGAAGGCCACCATAAGAGCAAATGCACTTTCTATCATGTAAAATCTGCAAGCTTCCTTTGAAAGAAGAAAATAAAAATTTTTAAAAAAAGGGGTGAGTAAAATCAGATATGCTTTACCATACATAATTCACATTTATGCCTAGGTTTCATATTGCTTGATGTGACGAATTGAACAATATTTATTCTTTTAAGAGCCCATGTCATTATACAGCTTTATGTTATATTATTGAAGAATCTTCTTTTAAAACCTGCATTACAAAATAAAATAATAATAATTAATAATTAATAAAGAAAATAAAGGCTGGTTAATTAATTATCAAATTATTGGATGAAGATTGGGCTTTTTGTATTCAGGGGCTTCCTTTGTATATAACACGTCTTCTCTTGCTCTTACCACTCAAAGCCCGCACAATGCAAGGGGCCATTATACTTTGGGCTCATATTTAACTTATCTTTTGTCCAAACTCTAATACCATGTCAAACAATCATGTTTGACCGAAAAAAAAAGAATAACTTCAAGAAGGTTTAAGATGGGTTTTATATCCTAACTGCTACAATCCTCAAGAAGATTGTTAATAAGATATAAATCTTAACCAGAAAAGTTATAAGAAAATAAACGGGTCAAAAAAGGACACTAATATTTTACAAAGCCGATCAAAGTGAAAGAAGTAACACAAGGGAGAAATAGAAAGAGACTTTTCTTTTTTAATTATAACTACTACATTTTTCATGTTTGGACGATACCATTTTGTTGAATTATAACTAGATCTTAAAATAAATTATAATGCATGCATACAAGAGAAGAGAATAATGTTTACTTGGATTCCACGAACTGATCGCGGTATTTTCCTGGAAAGCACGAGCGCTGAGTGGAGAAAGAGATTGTGGCTGAAGCAAATGCATAAAGAAACATATATAGCATTAGATCACGTTAATGGGTAGAAAAGGAAACATGAGGAACTCACGGCATAACCATAGCCCCAACGAGTGAAATTGCAAGACCAGTAGCACCATTCCCGTTAAGTTTTGGAACAAAAAGACCATTCAAAACTTCTTTGGCGTCGGGCTTTGCATATCCAAGCTCAACCATAAAACATGCAGCAATTGTAAACACTAGAAATGCAATCAAGAATTCCAGTTTCCTAACCTGTTAAACAACAACAAAGTAAAAGTTCTCACATTGTTTTCATATAATAAATATTAACTTAATGAAACATGCAATGAAATTCCAATTATTAATACGTTCAGGATATATATAATAATTTGTGTATCATATCAAACCATGGTATATTGGTATGATACCAGGAAACAATGGAGGAGAGGGTAGAATGGAATACAAAAAACTACCCCATATTGCTGTAACGCTAAGAGGATCAATGTACTGAATCCTGTCAGAAGAACACCAACCCAAACAGGAATGTTGAAAAGCATGTTCAATGCAAAGGCTGTCCCAATAACTACACAGGTTCAACAGAAAGTCAATACAAAAATAAATAAAAGATAAAGATTTTCCCTTTAATGATTATGATATCTACTATTGCTGTATAAATATTTAGCTAAGGTCCATAAATGCCGAATCCACCTCTATACTATACCTTCGGGAATGTCACATGCCACTACGGCAATTTCAGCAATAACCCAAAGTATAAAGTTGGGTACCCGAGAATATTCAGTCCTACAATGTTCTGCTAAATGCTTTCCTGCAAGCAGAAAAGAATTGAAAATGAAAAAGCATAGATCCATACATACATTATTGATCATATTTATTCAGTAAAAAAAATAATTAATGAATCAAGTACCAGTGACAACCCCAAGATTGGCTGCCATAGATTGAATTAGAAGAGCAGCACATGACGCCACCAATATGATCCAAAGTAACTGAAAACATAAATGTGACAAAAAAGATGTTGAGCTCAAATGCGGAATAACTTGGACGTGTAAATTAAAATTCTGACGTAAACTGGCGAGCAATAATTCAGACCTAATAAATAGATCTAGCAGCGCAGCGGTGTAACTTGTAAAGTGTGCACTGAAATACTTCCCAGGAAAGAGAGGTGGATCACAACGGATCACTTAAATACCAGGTCTTTCCTTAGCCAGAATCTTTCCAGTTACAACACTAATACAAATACACACTTCTCCAGCAATCCAACAATCAGCCACGGAAGGATAACAAAAATAATTCTTTTCTGATGTGGAAGATCAGACTAAACTGCAACCACAGAGCATACTAAGAATTATTTTAACTGAATAAAATAAGCAGATAAAGAACACCACTATTTAACGTGGAAAAACCTCCAATGTGGAGGAAAAACCACGGGACAAACTCCGAAAAATATTCCACTATATCTCAGGATATTTACAATATCCTTTCAACACTCTATCACACAAGAGGTGTAAAATATAGTGTACACAGTGAGACCCACTCCTATTCAAATATTACAAATTTTGTAATACCAAGAAAAAATAGAGATGATACCCACCCCAGTGTATTTTTCTCACACTCTTAGGATTTACTCAACACTCTATTTTTTTTTTCTCTCACAAACACTCACAATGCTTGATGAAATCTTGTGTGTGTTGCTGCTTGTGCTTGTGCTTACTTCAATTTCATTTCACGGCTATTTATAGCCAAATAAAGTTACTATTCATTTAATAAAATATTATTAATTGTTTATGAAGTCAAAAAAGGGGGCACCGAAATTGAAAATGTGCTGGACCTCACAATTCTCCCCCTCCAGCACAAAGGTGCACTCTTGGAATCTTCACATGCGATCTATGCCAATCAGCTTGGCACACTGTTGATGTTTTTCTCGTGCAACAACTTTCGTCATCATATCAGCAGGATTTTTATCCGTATGAATCTTATCTAGCTTGAATTCTTGTTCTTCCACTGCCTGACGCAGCCAATGATATCTGATATCAATGTGCTTCGTACGAGAGTGATACATCGCATTCTTACTTAAATCCAATGCGCTTTGGCTATCACAATGGATAACGTACCTTTTCTGCTCAATTCCCAGTTGTTGAAGAAACCTCTTCAACCAAAGCATTTCCTTTCCTGCTTCAGTCATGGCAACATACTCAGCTTCAGTAGTTGACAAGGCCACACATTTCTGCAATTTGGATTGCCAAGATATAGCTCCCCCTGCAAAGGTAAACACAAGTCCTGAAGTAGATTTTCTACTATCCAGGTCACCTGCCATATCTGCATCTGTGTATCCTTCAAGAACTGGGTTAGGTATTCCAAAGCTCAAGCACATATTAGAACTACCTTTCAGATATCTCAAGATCCACTTCACTGCTTCCCAATGCTCTTTTCCAGGATTGGAAAGATACCTGCTAACAACTCCGACCGCATGAGCTATATCCGGCCTCGTACAAACCATGGCATACATCAAACTCCCGACTGCTGAGGAGTATGGAATACCCGCCATAGCTTCTTTTTCTTCTTGACTTGTGGGACAACTTCTTTTCCTGAGTTTGAAGTGATTTGCCAACGGTGTACTAACTGGTTTAACCGTCTTCATGTTGAATCTGTCCAGAATCCGATTCACATACCGTTCCTGCGATAACCACAACCTTCTGGATTTTCGGTCTCGCATGATCTGCATGCCCAAAATTTGTTTTGCAGGGCCCAGATCTTTCATATCAAAAAACTTTGACAATTCTTTCTTCAAATCACCAATCAGCTTCACATCTTGTCCCACTATCAACATATCATCTACATACAACAGAAGGATAATGAATTTATCACCTGGACATGTCTTGACAAATACACAATGATCTGCATCAGTCTTGGCATATCCATGACTCGTCATGAACGAGTCAAATTTCTTATACCACTGTCTTGGAGCCTGTTTCAATCCATACAAGCTCTTCTTCAATCTGCAAACCATGTGTTTCTTTCCAGTTTCCTCAAAACCTTCTGGTTGCTCCATGTAGATTTCTTCATCAAGGTCTCCATGAAGAAACGCAGTCTTCACATCTAGTTGTTCAAGCTCCAGATCCAAGCTAGCCACCAATCTGAGTATAACTCGAATAGAGCTCATCTTCACAACTGGAGAGAAAATTTCATCAAAATCTATTCCTCGCTTTTGTCCAAAACCTTTTACAACTAAGCGAGCCTTGTACTTCAACAGCTTGTCACCATCTTTCTTAAGCTTGAACACCCACTTATTTTTCAAGGCTTTTCTGCCTTTAGGGAGCTTGACCAACTCATAAGTATCATTCTTCACCAGAGAATCCATTTCTTCTTGCATGGCTTTCATCCACTGGGATTTATCCTTATGAGTCTGAACTTCTTCAAAGTTTTTTGGCTCCCCCTCTTCAGTGATGGTAATATACGTCGAACTAGGGTACTTTGTAGATGGCTGGTGTGGTCTTCTTGATTTCCGAGGCTGAGGTGGAGCTTCTGGGTTTTCTTGCTCAACACCTTCATCATCACCATCTTCTATTGCTGGCTCATTATCAACCCTAAGTTCTTCATCACACTCTCCCCCTACTGTGGCATTTTTAGGAGGAACAACTGGTGTAAGATCAACCTTACCACCTGGTTCTCTGATTTTTGGTGAAGCAGAATCCGACATAGTTTCTTGCTCATGGAACACTACATCTCTGCTTCTAATAACTTTCCTATTTTCTGGATCCCATAACCTGTAGCCAAATTCCTCATCTCCATAGCCCAGAAATATGCAAGGAATGGCTCTATCATCAAGTTTTTGTCTCTGTTCCTTATTCACATGAGCAAAAGCTTTGCATCTAAACACTTTCAAATGAGAGTATTTAACATCATGTCCGGACCATACTCTCTCAGGGATATCAAAGCCCAAAGGAACAGATGGAGATCGATTAATCAGGTAGCTTGCCGTTAGAACAGCTTCACCCCAGAATGGCTTAGGCAGTTTTGCCATTCTTAACATGCATCTTACTTTCTCCATAATGGTTCTGTTGATTCGTTCGGCCACACCATTATGTTGTGGGGTTCCAGGTACCGTCTTCTCATGCCTGATGCCATGCTCAGCACAATAATTCTTGAATTCATGGGAAGTATATTCACCCCCATTATCCGTGCGAAGACACTTCAAAGGTTTACCAGCCTGTCTCTCTACCATTGCATGAAACCTTTTAAAGCATTGAAAAACTTGGTCCTTCGTTCTTAAGAAGTACACCCACAATTTTCGTGAAGCATCATCGATAAACGTCACGTAATATCTGCTACCACCAAGACTCTCCACTTCCATGGGTCCACATACATCAGAATGAACCATCTCCAAAATATTCTCTTTCAGCTTTGACGTTTTGCTGAAAGACACTCTATGATGCTTGCCGAATAAACAGTGATCACAAGGATTCAACTTTGTATTTTTGGCAAACGGGATAAGGGACTTTCTTGTCAAAATCTGCAATCCTTTTTCACTTATATGAGCCAATCTTTTGTGCCACAAATTTGGCGAAGCATCATCCTCGACTGCATTCAATCCTCCCTTGATCAGCTTTACTTGAGTTTTATACAACGTTGAATTTACTGTGCCTCTAGCAACCAACAACGATCCTTTGGTAAGCCTCCACTTGCCGTTACCAAAATGGCTGTCGTAATCAGCTAGATCCAAAGCATGCACAGAGATCAAATTCAGACGTAGATCTGGCACATGACGCACATCTTTTAGTGTTATTGTGCATCCTGTATTGGTTTGAATGCACACATCACCAATTCCCACAATATCTGCGATACTGCTATTGCCCATCTTTACTTTACCAAAGTCTCCTGCTTTGTACACAGTAAAGAATTCCTTGTGAGAAGTTGCATGATAAGATGCTGCTGAGTCAATGACCCATTCATCACATGAGTCTGTAACTTGACACTCTTCTTCTTCTTCAACAGAGAGTACTACCACATCCCCAGTTGTCACAGGGGATGCAGTATTTTCATCGTCATCCGATCTAGAGTTTCGTCGGTCTTTCTTCTCTCTGTTCTTCCAGGCTTTACAGTTTCTTTTTATGTGCCCTTCTTCACCACAGTGGTAATACTTGAATTTTCTTCTGGGCTGAGACTGTGACTTATCTCTGGATTTGTTACTTCGTCCTCTGCTCTTACTTCTCCCCCTGTTCTCTGTGACAAGGGCATGAGAACTGCTTGCCCCAGAGTCTTTTCTCCTTGTTTCTTCATTAAACATGCTGTCTTTGACTTGAGACAAAGTCAGTTTTCCTTCAGGAGCAGAGTTGCTTAATGACACCACCAGAGTCTCCCAGCTGTCTGGTAAAGAACTCAAAAGTAACAGCGCCTGCAATTCTTCATCAAGTTTTATCTCCATGGTAACTAGCTGGTTTACCATGTGTTGGAAATCATTCAAGTGTTCTGCAACTGATCTTCCATCTTGATATTTTAAATTCACCAGCTTCCGAATAACAAAAGCTTTGTTTTGTGCAGTCTTCCTCTGATACATTTGTTCAATTTTGTTCCACAGAGTCTGGGCATTCGTCTCTGTGGCAACATGGTGGAATATGCTGATATCCACCCACTGCCTAATTAAACTGACGGCCTTCCGGTGTATCTTTTTCCAATCCTCATCCTTCACGTCTTCTGGCTTTTGATCTCCCTTTTCCACAGGATCATACAGGTCCTTGTAGAAAAGTATGTCCTCCATTTTCGGCTTCCAAATAGAGTAGTTTGTTGCTGTTAGCTTCACCATGGTACCTACGTTCTCTTCCATTTAATTTACACTCGGTGATACAGAGCCCAACTTAAGCTCTAATACCACTTGTTGAGCTCAAATGCGGAATAACTTGGACGTGTAAATTAAAATTCTGACGTAAACTGGCGAGCAATAATTCAGACCTAATAAATAGATCTAGCAGCGCAGCGGTGTAACTTGTAAAGTGTGCACTGAAATACTTCCCAGGAAAGAGAGGTGGATCACAACGGATCACTTAAATACCAGGTCTTTCCTTAGCCAGAATCTTTCCAGTTACAACACTAATACAAATACACACTTCTCCAGCAATCCAACAATCAGCCACGGAAGGATAACAAAAATAATTCTTTTCTGATGTGGAAGATCAGACTAAACTGCAACCACAGAGCATACTAAGAATTATTTTAACTGAATAAAATAAGCAGATAAAGAACACCACTATTTAACGTGGAAAAACCTCCAATGTGGAGGAAAAACCACGGGACAAACTCCGAAAAATATTCCACTATATCTCAGGATATTTACAATATCCTTTCAACACTCTATCACACAAGAGGTGTAAAATATAGTGTACACAGTGAGACCCACTCATATTCAAATATTACAAATTTTGTAATACCAAGAAAAAATAGAGATGATACCCACCCCAGTGTATTTTTCTCACACTCTTAGGATTTACTCAACACTCTATTTTTTTTTTTTCTCTCACAAACACTCACAATTCTTGATGAAATCTTGTGTGTGTTGCTGCTTGTGCTTGTGCTTACTTCAATTTCATTTCACGGCTATTTATAGCCAAATAAAGTTACTATTCATTTAATAAAATATTATTAATTGTTTATGAAGTCAAAAAAGGGAGCACCGAAATTGAAAATGTGCTGGACCTCACAAAAGAAACGGCAACACTTGAGCTTCATTTCGCAAGTATATATACTAAACTACTTTTTGTTAGAACATGGTGATTATGGTGTAATAACATTCAAGGGCAAAATGTTAGTGTGAAGAACATCCATCAAATTGATTTCAACAATCAAAATGTAACTGAATAATGGGTTACGTACTATATGACTTCAACATGTTAACTTCCACAAGTGTATGAATATAAATACCATACCTACCTCATATTTATATTGTGCCCCTGACTGAAGATCCGTCTCAACTGCAAGTTATTGTGAAAAATACATTGATTGAGCTATCTATATCAACAGTATATGATTCCTTTTATTTCAGAAGAAAGACATGAATAAGTGATCTCACAGTTTCCTGGGTCTATATACGCAATGGAAACAAGAAATCCGGGCCCCACGTATGCAAATAAGTTTTTCCAGCTTTTCCTCTGCAAAATAGAAACATACATAAATGATGAATATCATGCAAATAAGTGTACTTTGCCATCAAATCACTAACTCAAATTGTGCCATTATTGGGTCACTCATGAAAAAAAAAATCTCAATATTCTTTTAATTTCATGAAGTGCCAAATGAAAAATTAACTTTTTTCTCTTTCAATTCATGCCAGCGATTGGCACACAAACTGTATAACGCAACCAATAGTTGCTTCTGTTGAGTAAACGCGCGTTGTATAGTTAACAATCGTGAATTCAAAAACCCTTTATAACACATTATTTTTATGCAATTTGTAGCGTCGCTCTAGCCAGTTCATTCGTCCGCTGTTAGAAGTAGATATTGGTTACTCTTAAAATTCACATATAGGTTCCGTTATTTGAACCTAAAAGGTTAATATCATATCTGAAATTGTATATAATTACGTTAATCTTTCACTTATTTTAAATTTTTTATATATAAATACATCTAAATATATTTAAAAATATACTCTTTTAATGTTAAAAAAAGCATTACCATCAATTTGATTTTACTTGCTAAGTCAAATCAAACGTCTATTCTATGGCCCTTTTAACTCTTTCCGTTTTCCATGTGATATTCTCGAGAATCTTATTCGTTTATGCAAATCAATATATAAAACTAAAAATAGATTAACTTCGGCATTAGGATATGGACAGGGAATAAAGCATCCCACTCGAATTATAAATTTTCAATCTCAAACATAAAGCAATATTCGTCGTGCAAATTAAATTAACAACAACATTATGCAAAGTTAATCAACGACATTAGATGGACAATTCAAAAGCTTCATGAGATTAAAGGGCAAATCAAACTCACATCAGGTACAACAATTTGATCAGTTTCGGAGTTCTCAATCAGGGGCGCATTGGACAAGCTCCGGTTACCGCCGGTGCTCGCAATAAACTGCAGCTGCCCAGAAGATGAAGCTGTGCCAGTCATATTCTCTCACTCTCCTTTCTGAACCAAAAACTGAGAGAGAGAGAGAGATAAGGAGAGAGATCTTCAGTGAAGTAAATACAAGATTTTACAATCAATTAGCTTCGGTTATTCCAACTTAATATAGTTTTAAATTCTATATTTTTTTCAATACAATTACATTAAATACTTGTAAGAAGAGTTTGATTGTGTATAATAATAATAATAATAATAATAAGAATAAGTGCAATCCAAAAAAAGTATGAAACATGAACAAGAGAGAAGCAATATTACAAAGGCTAAAAACTTTGATAAGGAGACATGGAAATGAATGGAAATATCGAAGTCACATAGAAACTGAAAAGGCTATAAAGACGAAACTACTTCATTGGTTGTGTTGAAACAATGAACAGAAAACATGGAAAATATGGCAAAAGTGAAAGAGGAAAAGAAAATGAAATTGCATATATAGGATTGAAGTGAGAACGATTGCGTGCAGCACTCACCTATTTGCAATACAAAACTCGTAGCTACCTGCTCCAAGCTGCTACTTTGACACTGTCCTTATATCACCAAATACGGAGTTTTTCAAAACAAAAGTACTATATATAATTATCACTGGATTCTAGTGTTAGAAATATATTATCAAAGTTTCTGTCAGCACCTAATTTTTTTTTCTTATCTTATGTATTTGTTGCTGTTCTTTATTACAATCGTCATCTCCTTCACCTTCTTCCCTCTCTCCCTTTTATTTTTCGATCACAGCTAAATTGTTTTTCTTTCTATATATGTTTATTGAAGACGTCAAATGCCACTTTGAATCAGATACTCACGAAGTCTATTTGGTTTCCTTAGAACGGAAGTTGCACACTTTCTCATACAAAAAATTGCATTCAAATCCGAGTTTCTCAGACCCAAAACAAAAATCACTTCCGAATTAAAAATTTTATTACCAACAAAGCAACAACCAACCCACTAACAGGACTTGGCTCCAAACATTAAAGAAATATGAAAAATTAATAAGTAAATAACTTTTGTTAAATATATATTAATAAATTTAAATATTATATTTTTATGCTTTTATTTTTAAGTTTTTAATAATTATCCCAAGAGTAATAGCTAGAAAAATGTAAAAGTAAATTGATTGATAACAACTATCAAATTTTGTAATTTATATCTTTAATAATTTAAAAAAAATAGATTTATTAATTAAATCATTAAATTATGTAATATTATCATGATAATTATGTATGATAAATTTATGACGTTAAGTATTAATTGGTCTTCTTTTATATTTACATAGTACTTGTACGAATTTTTTATTGGACTAGCGAATAAGCATGTTATTACTTTATACCAAATTGGCTTTAGGTGAACCATCTTGCATGCATGTGTTTTGAAAAGGCAACATCTCTATTGTGCTGAAAAAAAAATTGTTAAATAATGTAAACATTGCTATCTCTTTTCATGTGTAATAATAAGTTATTGGATTTCTTAAATAGGTAAGCTGGAAAAAGTCATTTTCAAACTCGATAGTAAAACACACATCAGTTTAAAAATTTAGTTTTATATGAATGTATAAGAAGCAAATATAACCCTATATAAACATTTAAAATTAAAAGTTATTTAAATCATGATATTATGTAACTTTATAAGTTAAAAAATTGTTACATCTTATAAGAACAAAAGGCACACTAGATAGTTAAATATGACAATCCACTCCTCGTTAAAAAAAAAAAAACTTAAATTTTATACACTATTTTTATTAATTTTTTAAGGAATTAACAAAATCTGCTTTCTTTTGAAAAATAGCCATTTTCAGCCACCAATTGCTACGCTAAGTTTGAATTGTTTGGATTACTTGACCAGTTTGCAATTCAATGAATTGAATCAGCCAATCTTTTATATATATACACAACACGTGTGTGTGTGTGTGTGTAATCCATTCAACATATTTGTAAGATTAAATATTGGTTAACTTATTTTGTTAAAAATATAGAGATATCTAATTATTGATTTAAAATTTTTAATAAATAGATAAAGATTACAATATTTCAGAATTTTAAAATTTATTCAATGTTTTGTCAAATAGCTTTATTTTAATATATAATATTTTTCTGAAAGTATAAATAAACATCAATTATAAGATTACGTAGTAGTAGTGAATATTTAATTTGGCTGAAATTTAATATTCATATATAAAAATAAATTAATAAAAATTAATGTACAAAAATTTATTAAATTAAGTAAATAAAAAAACTTACTTTAAGCGTTTCTCTGTCACATTTCTGACTTTCTATTTCTTCTATTTTTATTTCTCTGTCTTAAATTGCAATCTTTTGTGTTAGAATTAATAAATACAAATTCGATCAACCGAATACTTATTGAAATACTATTGTGAGATAGTACAAAAAAATTTAAATTCTCTTTTTTATTAACTACCCAAACCCTTTTGAGATATTTGTTATATATTTATGTCATTATTATTATTCTTAATTTTGTTTATACTTGATAAAAGTTATCACACATATTTTTTTATCTAATAATTAACAAGTCATTAAATAAATTAGGATAAATTATTTTGTACCTTTCATACTGTCACACTTTCTAAAACCACTTACCTTCCTATACCTTTTTTTTATCATTTAACTTTTTTGTACTTTTCTTTTGTATCATTAAACTCCTTAAAAGATATAATTGTAGTTAAAATTATTTCTATTAAGCGACACAAATAAAGAATAGGAGCTAACAGTGATAACAAAATGTTTTTACAATAATTTTATTGTTTTTTTTTTTATAAATTAAAGAGAAAGAAAAGAGAGAAAAAGGTGATTAAATGGATGATGTGATGAAGAGAAAGTTATACTATAAAAATTAGTGTAAATACTTATTTTAGAAATAATATAACTAAACTAATGTACAAATAAATACTTTGAAAAAACTGTAAAACTAAGATAGGGTATAGCTTACCAAAAATAATAATAAATAAATCACAATTATTTCTCTTTTGATTAGTGTGTTGATAATCTGAATGAAATATTCGTGCTACAAAATAATTTCCCCTCATTTTTATTGTGTTCATGGATATATATATATATATAAAGAAGTGGAGTTGATTTGATTAGCAGGCATATAGGTGATCCTAAGCTATGGGCCATTACCGTCAATTTTTGAATTGTGAAAAACGGCCGCTGTAAATGGGGGACCAATCCAAGGCCCAGATCCAAGGCCCAAAATGGGGAGAGGAAGGACGGATGGAAACCAATCTATATAAAAGTTGATAGAAGGTTAATTAAAACTTAAAAGTTAACAAGAAAAAATTTGAAGTAATATGCTTTAAAATAATATTATTTTAATATTTTATTTTTAGAAACAATTTATTTTGGTAAATCGTTCCTCTTATCATCGTATCATTAAATTAAACAAGCAATTATTAATAAAGTTACTCTAAAATTAAAATATCAATTTAACAAAATGACACTTTCTAGTTTATCCTTTTATTTGAATTGCGCTAGTTAGGCAAGCACTAAGACTGGACAATATTTTATATTATAAAATATATTCTTATACATAAAAAACAGCATTCATATATTCAAATTTAATGAATGTAATTATGTTAAATATTAAAAAAATTATAATAAATATAGTTATATTAAATACTTACAAAATTATAATTTATAATGATTTTTTTTTCGGAAAGGATAAAAATAAAATAAAAATAAAAACTCATCGTGGGAACGCAAAAGTTGGCAAAATAAGAAAAAAACACGTGGGCCTGTACACCTTGACGTTACTATTCCTCTGGATAATCCTTTGACTTACAAATGACGCAACAAATGCAGAAGAGGCCGAAGCTTTATCTTTATGTGGCAATTTGTTGTTGTTCCACAAATCCACCCCTAACACGATAAGTTTCCAGCATTTTCAACATCTTCCACCGAACAGCAATGCCCAGATAACAACGACACCAAGGAAACTTTACGAAAATATCAATTATTAATATCTTAGATACATGGTGATGGATGTAATAAGATTATCAGAATATCATGGAACCAATGTGTTATAAGGTGTTTTGAAATTATTTCGATGAATTCCACTAACATCATGCAACTGTTCTTTCTTGCGTTACCCCTTTTACAACAATCTGTGATTCATTTCATGGTTTGACTCCACCCACTTTATATTTTTAAGATCTTGTGCGCGAGAAAAAGGAAAAAGAAATTCGCTTTTTAATCTCACAATCACATAATGGTTTGAAAGAAATTTGTCTTTTTCTTCAACCCTTGAAGCAAGCATTATATAATCATCAAGCAATCTGATTGGCGTGTGGGATTGCTATACTCACTGAAATTCTCAATCCGTTGTCTTTTTTCTTTGATTTTCTCTTCCCTCCAAAGAAATTCCTTCATTTGACTTGATATACAGTTACTCCAATCATGTAGTATTATAATATGTTTTTGACAGAAAACTCAAGACTCCTGTCTTATAACTTGCGGTGTTTTTTAAACGACACAAACTATTCTATTATTGTTTTTGGACATTTTCACATTGCGTATCTCAATTATTGAGGTAGGGTTAATATATTTGTTGAACAACTTCACGTCTTAAGATAGAGGTCAACATAATATCGAAGCCTCTGGTTTGTAGAGGAGATGAAAACATCTTACATCATCTGCCACACTTATTGAGGTACAGTTTATATACATGTTAGATTTTATTAGTTTTAAGATGAAACTTAATAATTATTGTCTTTTCATCCTTTGTAATACTCTAATTCAACTTTTTAAAGAATATTTAAATTTCTTATTAAACGAAAAATTTGTGCATAAAGGATGATATCATATGACGTGTCAAACTTCAAGCCGGTGAGAGAAAACTTAGGTGATATAATATTGCAATAAGCGAGTTGTCCTTCTCCAAGTAAACCTCTTGCAAAGGTACAATTAATAACGAAGAATAAATTAATGCAAGAATGAGGGAAAAAAAGTGATAGAAGTTGTGCAAATTATACAGAGTTTATTTATATTTAAGTAACATGATTGTTTTCAAATGTAAAATTCATTAAGAGGAGGAAAATAATTATCACAACTTAAGCATATGACAGCCACCAAACCATATGAATTGACTTGAAATAATTGGCATTTATGTTCTTTGTTGATAATCCTTCACGCCGGGATTAGTTAGGTACCTAGGTGGCTAGCTTAAGTCATGGAAAAGTGCATGATATAATGTCTTACATATCTATATGGCAAAGGCAACTTGGCAAGTTGAGCTTGAGAATGATAACATTGATACGAATGAGCTGTTCTATGCCACAATCACCCCCTATTCTCCCAACAAAAAATTGAAAGGAAAATAAAAATGCACTGTTATGGGGCATTTGGAGCCTCATTTGACAAAACTGAGTATGATCCGAGTCAGCTGATGGAACGTTTTAAGTTGTGGAGGCCCCGCGATGCAACACCCTTTCGTACTGTTTTTGTTGTGTATATTTGTATGTGTGTAGGCACAGGTTACCCTTCCTTTTGGAGGCTTTGCTCAAAAGGGACAGCTTGTAATGCCACGTCCACTGGTAATACCCACTTTATTAACAGAAAAAGAAAAACTTTGGAATGAATAGAGGGAAAAAAATCAATGTCCTTTCGAGGTGTTCAATTGGTACCACGGAAGATGGATAAAATGGTTTGCAATGACGGGTTTACCCATTTAATTGTTTTTTTTTTTGTTTGTTTTCGGTTAAAACATGTTCACTAGGATTAGTGGGACAGAATAGCAAAAAGGGCACAACCAAAATACCGTAATAATAAATAACAATGATGAAGCCATAGAAAATCCAAGGCTTGGCTGTCTTGCAATTTACTCATTTGCGGATCTTTTGGTCCTTGCACTTTGACAAAAATTTATTATGACCCACAATCCCCAATCACCTTTCTATCATCAATTGAATCAGTAGTAAGGACCCAAGAGTGAAGTAAAAGAGAGAGAGATCTTGGCGTGTTCTATTATTTAAATAACCAAAATACTAATAAAATAAAATTAATTTCATCTTATTTTATTTTATATTCTTCTCAATTTAAGAAATATGTAATTAAATTAATATTATTTTATGTAAAAAAATTCAATCAACAGGGTAATATTTTCAGTCCACTTTAATTCTATTTCTTTTTATTTGAATCCATCACGTTCCATCCAACCTCATTCATGTTTGAATATCTAAACCAACCTAAGGTTGGTGACGCATAATATCAAACTTAGTAATCCTGTTGAACAACTGGAATTCAACAATTCAAGCCAAGGTTTCCAATTCTTCCATTTACAAATCTATTGGTACATACTTAACCTTTAGCTCCAAAATCCACCAATCCAAGCCTTCCAATTCTCTCTTTACAAAATCTATTGGTACTTAGCTTTCGTTACTCTCCGAAATACAAATCACAGTTTTAAACACAAAGGGACCCAACACGAACTATAATCAAACCCTCACGATTATCTAGGATCATTTTCATCTTTCGTGAATATGAAACATATTCTATCTGGTAACTTAAACCGAACCAACATATACGGTGAAGCGAAGAACCCCGTTTCTACTTTTTCCACAATTTGCGGGATGATTTTAGGCAGTATTAACTAACTTCAAACACCATAACAACCTTAAATTTACATAGTATGAAATCAAATTTTGAAGCCAAAGCAAACTACTATTAAAAAAAAAAAAAAACACTTCACTTTTGTGTAGCTTTTTGTGTTCCCATTCACAGATCATCACAACAACTACTGATTGTTGTTGGAGTTACTATCACCCTGCCAACTCCAAACGATGTCTTGGAGAGAAGGTCTCACTTGTTCCTCACAGAACTTAACATACTCCAAAGTGTCTCCGGCCGACTTAGAAAACTCCACCACCGCCACCTCCGGCGCCACCTCAAACACCTCCACCTTCATGGCGAGCTTCCCCTTCCTCCCCTCCTCCGTCCCCAGCATCCTCACTACAAACTCCTTCTTCCCCGTGACCCTAAAGTTCAACTTTTTCGCCACCGCCTCGAGCTTTGCCAACACCGCAGAAGCTGAAAACTTGCTAATAAACATAGACGGAGACCGCTTCCTCGTCTCAAACAAATTCCTAAGATCAAAACCATGCGACAACGAGGAAATAATCTCAAACGCATTGTAAAACGGCCGAGCCGGTTTCATCATTGCCCCAACCTCTTCTTCACCACCCACCTCATCAAAATCAATGTTATCTTCAACCGTTGATTCCTTCATGGAAAACGCAAGTGGCCTCATGAACCCAATTTGGAACCAAGGGTCGATCATTATATCAGGAATAGAATACCTCTTTTCAGGATCAGCAACAAGGAGTTTCGAAATCAAGTTCTTAGCTTGGGGCGAAATCCAATCTGGTAATTCATATTCAGCTCTAAAAGCCTTTCTATAAATCCTCATAACGTTCTCACCTTGGAACGGTAAATACCCAGAAAGCAAAGCATAGAGAATTACACCACAGGACCATATATCAGCCTTGGAACCATCATAGCCTTTCTTCTTCAACACTTCGGGTGCAACATAAGCAGGGGTTCCACACGGCGTCACGAGCATGCCGTCGGCACGGCGTTGCTCCGGCAACGCGGAGAGGCCGAAGTCGGAGACCTTGAGGTCCTCGTTTTCGTTCAAGAGAAGATTCTCCGGCTTGAGATCACGGTGGGTGACGCCGCGGCTGTGGCAGAAATCGACGGCGCTGATGAGTTGTTGGAAGTACTTTCTGGTTACGTCTTCGGAGAGTTTTCCCTTTGCGACTTTGGAGAAGAGTTCTCCACCTCTGACGTATTCCATTACAAGGAAGATTTTTCCTTTTGTTGCCATTACTTCTTTGAGTTCCACTATGTGGGGGTGTTTTACCAGCCTCATCACCGACACCTCGCGTTTGATCTGCTTCACCAACCTTTCTTTCTTCAGCTTCTCTTTCTTTATCACCTTTATGGCCACGCTCTCGTTGGTGGTTAGGTTCCTTCCGTGGTAGACCTTTGCGAAGTTCCCCTGCCCCAAAACCCGCCCCATCTCGTACTTGTTGAAGATTATGCTTCTCCGGTTGTTGTTGTTGTTGTTGTTGTTGTTGTTGTTGTCACTGCTGCTGCTGCTACTGTTTTGAGGATCCATCGGAGAAGGAAAGGAGGAAGAAGGTGGTGCTAAACTGTGGAGATTGTGGAATCGAAGCTAATTAGGCCAAGAGAGAATTGACATTCTGAATTGGTAAAGATGGGTGGCACCCAGATGAGAAAGATTGGTGTGTTTCAGGAATATGGTGTCCGAAGGACACACCACATTCGTGAGAAAGCACTTAGAGGGGCTGAAAATCTTCATGGTGCATGTATGAAGAAGAATATTGGAATATGCAGGGAAAAAAAAGATGAAAATAAAAAATATTGACTGGTAGATGGAATAAGCAGAATAGATGGTTGTTTAAGGAAAGGGCAAATTGGTTTGTGCGTGAATGAGTGTACAAAAAAGTGGGTTTTATATTGTAAAAGATTGAGGGCGTTTGGAGAAGATAAGGTTAAGATGATGAGGAATTGAAGAGAGGAATAATGGGTTGTCTAGAAGGGCGTGGAGAAGAGAAGACAGAGAGGTTTAAGAGGGAAGATGAGAATATACTGACCGGCGGAACGGAACGGAATAAGCAAAAGCAAAACTGAACAAAAAAGTGATTGGCAACAAAATCAGAAATATCTGGAAAAGCCAAAAATGGAGAAATTGGATTAACTTGCATTCGGAACAGGTGGAGCTGACGTGGGGACTATACCCTTCTATTCTTATTCCTATGACTCATCGCCGTTAGGTTTTGTTCTCCCAATTGCTTCCCATATTATAAAATATTACTTTTAATACCTCTAAAAACACTAATTTTATAACTATCAATTTTAATTATCAATCTTCCATGTTATTTTCTTTTTTATTTATCTTTTCGTATAAAATATTAATGAATAAATATTCATTAAACTTAACTCAGTTTTTATATAAATATAATATAATAAATTTAAATATTTTTTATTTTCTTCTGAAAAAATAAGTATTAAATTTAAGGATTTATTGTTAGGAATAAGACATAGGATCTATCCTTTTTCGAGAAGGTTGAAAGTTGAAAGTTGAATTCTTTCTTTAAATTTTCAATTGAAAGTAATTTAAATTTAAATGTTGAATATAAGAAAAACACATATTATACCAATAGAGTATATAATTCCTAGTTAAAAATCTTCTGATCCCACAGTTCCCGTTGAAATGGTCACTTGCTAAGGCCCTGTGGTATGGTCAACGCTGAATACAAGACTAAAGTATTTTTCACTCGTGCCTTTCATAATGTCTCTACGAATAAGCAGGGCATTGGACCAATATTATTTATTAATAGTTAAGTACAATTGTTGTAAATATTAAAACTATTTTAATTAATATATATCTTATAATAAAAAAAATTATTTTATAAAAATTTTTATACTAACAGAATCATTTGATAGTATAATATATTGCATTGTTAATATAAATTTACAATATCTATATTAATATTTAATTTTTATATGTAGTGAAAGTTAGTTTAAAACCAAACCATTAATTAAGCGGTATAATGTTTCAGTGGGATTAAAATGAGTTTTAAATTTTTATTTTTTTAAAAGAAGTTTTGTTTTTTGGGTATAATGTCATTTTATTATTTTTACAATATTTAATTAATAGTATATGATATGATTTATATAATTAATTTTTATTATAATTTATATAATATATAAACGTTATTTATTTTTGTCTTATTTATGAAAATTTAAAAAATTATATATTTTATAAAGTTTCACTTTAAGGGAAAAAAAAGTGATGAGGCAGAGTTATAGACTTTTTTATTGAAAAAGTAATAGCTGGAGTTTATATAATTTATTTTATTTGTGCGTGCATTTAATTATAATTTTCACTATTAATTTGTTAGTAATTCTCATGTATGATAGGGATATTTTAAAATTAATATATTTTATAATATATGATAAAAATTCAAAAACTAAATTATTATAAAACTAAAAAATACATCATGTAGAGAGAAAAACTATAGCTTTTAAAAGCATGTCCATTTAAAGTACTTTAAAAAATTATAATTAAAAAATGAATACTCACAAATTACATATATATGTTAATTAAGTAATAGTTATAATTCCTTAATCAAAAAACAATATTATCTTAAATTTCACCAAATGGATGAATAATTAAGTGGTTAATTAAGTTTGTTCTGAACAGAGGTGTGAATCAAATCGTCTTTTTCTCAAACCTCGCATACGCAACTAAGGTAGTGTTAATCTTAAGTGATGAAGTTAGTTAGTTAGACATCCTACCACATTAATTAATGATTAATATTGGCATTGCTAAATAATAAATTCAAATAAATGCTAACTAATATTCCAAAAACACTATTTAAAGAATTGAAAATAAAAGCAGCGTGGGACGCATGCTGACATGCATTTGAGTCGATTCCAGCTAAGGGGCATATGATTAGTATCTTTTTAAAAGCGTATCTGAAACTATACATTAAAAATTAATAAACAATAAATGTTTATTAATACATTAAATTTCATAATATTTTATAAATCAAAGTGTAAAACCAATGGGTGTGGCTTGGAATCTGGTAAAGTGTGAATTGGAATGCACATTGTTTTTGGATATAGAAAACAGGTAGAGATGGGTTTGACATGAATGGATGATCTGTGTTGTGTGCATCGCTTTCAACTTTCAATGGCCGCCACTGATGCCACGACAATCACACAACACTCATTTTCCTTTAACATCCACACCTTCGTTATCACTACTTTGATATGCTTACTAGTATTAGTATTAGTATTAGTAGTTTTCTTTTTCTTTTTCCTTTTTAAATCCACATGTTGCATATAATAAATATTCCCCTCAACTAAACCTTGCTCATTCTATTTTTCAATTCCACTTCTTAAGCACAGATTACGAAATTAGTAATTAAAAAATATTAATTTAAATGCTTATAATTAATCTCTACTAAGGAAATCCATTATTTAATCACGAATTGAGCAATCATTAGATGCCCCTTTAAGCAATACTTAAATTAGTAACGCATCTTTCTATGAAGTTGAGTCATTTCCACTATGATACTTAAAAACTTAATTTATATAGATACATAGATAGATATTCCAAGGTCAGCGAATCAACCGTTCAGATTAAGTAGTTGATAGTTGATGTGTTCATCATTAATTACAATTTTTATTTTAAGAGATTAAACAATGCAACAAAATTTTTTAGACATAATATTGCTAAAATAACAAAAGTCGATGATTACACTATTGATGCATATTTATAGTCCCCAAACCATCTATAATAAATAATCTATTAACTATTATTTTTCAATAAAAATTCATGTATAAATATTTTTTATATACCCACATGTAAGCGTTAAAAAAAATTAATAATAAAACTACAATACTACTACACCAACGTCACTCCAATACTAAACTTAAAAAAGTTAGTGATATCAACCTTCATTTGGGAACAAATTTCACTTTCATGAATCATAATCCAAGAAAAGAAACACCTATGCGCGTTGACAAATTGAATTAGATCATTTTATTGATAGAAAATTATTTTTATCACAATACGACTATAATTTATTTTTTATAATTTAGTTAGAACCCAGTAAATAAATTATTTTATTATTTATTCTATATGATTTCAAAATTAAACTTATTTTCTTATGTATAAAACATGAAAATATATGATACATAAAACTTTAAATAAATAAAATTATAAATTACTTAAAATAAATAAATATATCTTTATAAGTAAAATTATTAAAAAAATCAAATATTATAATTTGACAAATATATAGTTATATAATTATAAATAAAAGGTTAACCTCATAAATAAATCATATGTACATATAAGTTTGATTTATATTGGACTATATATTTAAAAAAAAACTTAAAAATATGATCATCTAATTAAATTTTCAAAATTTACAGGTTTTAACTTTTTTTAATTCAATTATAATTGTTTATATTAAATAGGATTGAGTTATTAGGCCCGTATAAACAACTAGAGAGAGGGGAAGTGAGGTAAGGGGGCACTTGATTAGTGAAAATGGGTTTAGTTTATGGCTAAATTAGCTTGAAAGTAGGTTGAATAATGCGATTTAAAAGGCTAATTAAAGATTTGAGATAAAGATACGTAGAACAGAGCAATAATTAGAAAAAAGATAAGAATAATTATACGAAACGTTGCTGTTTAAGAAGTATTATTAGGAAGCAGAAATAACTTGAGGGAAAAGTAAGGCCTGTGAGGGTGACCCAAGTGACAGATAGAGTGATCCTTTGTTTCTTTGCTCTTCCTAAATCCCAACCAATTTTTGGTTTACCCAATAGCCACGTATTAAATCCTAGATTAGGTTATCTATATTTATAAGCTTTATAAAAAATTCATTAATTTTAACTATTTTCACCTAATTTGATACTGAAAAAGTTAAAATATGTTTTATTTTATTTTTAAAAATAGTTTTTAGTTTTTTTAAAATATAGCATAAATTACTCCATTTTATTTTTATAATATTTTTTCACGCATAAAATTTGAACACAATACTTTATTTAAGAAGTATTAAACATATTTCATTTAAACCATGGAAGTGTTAGTGACTTGGACAAACTTTATAATAATAAAGTAAGATTATTTTTTAAAATTTAAGTTATTTACTTAATAAATACATTTTATGAAAAAATTAACCTTTTTTGAAAATTAACTTATTTAATAAATAGGTCAAAATTAGTTTAGCATAATTTAAACCAAGCTATATATATGTGTGTGTATTTTTAGTAAATTTAAATAAATAAATTAAATCATTTGATTGTTACGAACAGTGAAATTGATCTTACTCGAAGATAAGTTAAGAAGACATGATGGTTCTTTCCTTTTGGAGTTTTGACTGAAAAGGAAATTAATAACGATATGATGTGTATTCATTAGAAGGGGCAATGGTTTGAAATAATAGGCATCTTTTGATTTTTTATGTCTCTAGAAAGCTGCTCACAGAAGACGCGTGAATTACCATTTGTCCGTATATAGATTATTTTCAGTTTTGATAAAATTGATTAAAAACAAAACTGCGTATTTTTTATGAATAAAATTGAAGGATTTTCTATAAATAAAACAAAAAATTGTTTTAAAATATATTTAAACTTAATAATACAATTGTAACGTTATGTTATGAGTAAAAATTATAAAAAAATAATAACACTTAAATGCATTAATGTTAAGTTTTATTATAACAAATCTGAATTTTATAACGTAAACAAAAACTGTGAGAAAATATAAGAATGTTTAATTTAAATTTTTTTATATTTAACTAAAAATATCTTTATAAAATTAATAAATTTTTTATAAACACATTCACAATAAAAATAAAAAATGATATTTTTATAATTAAAATAAAAAATACTTCTTAAAACTAAATGGTGATAAGTTATCACATAAAGGATTCACACTTACAAATAAAGAGAAAAAGAATGCCACGCAATAACTGTACCTAATTCGACCCACTTGATGCTTCCAATGGCTTTCATTATAAAAAAAACTCATCAATATTAAAAAATTTAGCCTAACTCGTCTAAATGCTATTTTTTTATCTTTTGAGATATTTTAATACAGTTTTTTAAAATTTATTATATTAAAAATATAAAATACAATAAATTTTTTAATTATCAATTATTTAAAGCTGAAGTTAATATTTTTTTTATATAATTATATGATTTGAATTATGTGAATCGCCCTATATCTCATTTGAATAAAATTTTGAATATATAGGTAAGTGTGACACGCGTCCAGTAGTATGTAAGTAAAATAGTGGTACACACAAAGCCCTAAGCTACAGTGGGCCCAATTAAAATTCTCTTAGGATACATTATGATAAAACCACAATGTGTTGTTCCTCAATCATACATTCATCATCATTATTCTTCCTTTTTGATAATACAGAAACTCATTGTTTTGGCCTGAACCACCTGCTACCGTTTTCTGTATCCTTGATATTTCGGCACAGAAATTCAGATAAATTTATTGAAGTATGATAAATACTCCTTAAATAAACGTCACTGGATTAAAATTTATAGCAATTTATACCAAAATCTATAACATGACTCTCGACATATTCAATCAAGGATGGTTTTCCCAAGAAATAATGCTACCACTTGGACTGCATTGAGCAGTACCACGCTTGGCATTCTGCTACACAACTATCCCTTGCTTCCGTAATCTTTCATGCAATTTGCTAGTAACATTATTGTTCCAATCAGCATCAACATTATTTTTGGTTGATGGTTCAACAAATGTTCATTGGTTTCACTGCAAACCCATATCTGTTATGGAACCTCAAAAAATGTTGATTATCTTTGCATGTAACTAGCATGCCTCTCCATTTAAAAACAAAAAGGGAAAGAATTAGAAAATGGAGACCGGTAATTTCCATCTAAAGGGAAAACGATACATTTTTATTGTGAAAGGAAAAAGGAAAAATGATACTTTTGTGTATACTCCTTGATTGATGCATTTATTGTGAAACTTCATTCTTCCCCATTGATTGATCTATTCACTTTTTACAAGGCTTTCCCACCAACCCTCCATTTTAAACAGATCATCACCCTTTCTTTCACCATGCAAAATTATAACCACGAAAACCACACACATCGATTTGAAAGCATCCTGTGAGGAGGAAAATGAGTAGCATTTGAAAGGCTGTGCGGTTAAGATAACCTTTTTAATTTTTTATCCTACATGCGTAGATGTAATGTAAAATAATTATTGGCCTGGATAATTCAGTTTGACCAGATAGTTCTACCGTGATCAAGGTTCTACTACCTCTTGAAATAATAATAAATGAATTCATGATCAGGATTAACTACTTGACACTTTCATGTTAGATAACTTAGTTTAAGTTAGCAAAATTTATGTTTGAGTTCCTCAAATTAAAAAATTATGATAAAGTAGTTTTATAGTTTATATTAAAATATTCTGATTACAACAATACATCAAATGTGATAGGAAATTAAGACAGGCATTTATCTAAAGTTGTAGTTTTACTGGACCCATTACCATTCCTAAATGCAACTCCCCAACTTTAATTATTAACAAAGTAATAGCTGAAAAATAAGTTGCACTTCATATTCATACAACTCTAAAGATGATTGATGAGAGAGGTGAACAAGGAGCAAGAATGAGGAGGTCAAAGAGAAAAACGATTATAAGATATGGGCAGTGCAAATACGATCAAGGTTATAGGTAGTTGACGCGGGGGTATAAATTCTTGCAAATCAGAGAGAACATTTGGGTGAAAGTGTTGATTCAGGAAAAGGATTGATGGAGGAACATTTACAAGCTTGAGGTGATGGTAATCTCGATGGTTGGACAAAGGGTTAACCTCTAAACTTGGTTATAGGCAGTCAATGTAACTAGACTATCCATGGACACAAAGATTAGTGACCATCATAGAAGCCTATACTCAATTGTAGTTTGAAAGATCAAGAATTTGAAGGTGCTTATTCCCTAACAAAAGAAATTTTACAATTAAAATGTGTCCAAAAGATCACGTGCATTCAAATTACTAAGCTGCGAGATCGCATCAGGAATGTCACCCACAGGTTAGTTTTGGGCAAGTTCAGATATTCCTACCAAGCATCCCAATAGCATTTGTATTTTCATGTTTATTGTTCCTTGTCCACTAAATCTGTAGATTAAAATGCTTTAAATTTAAGGACTCAATCGAGTTTTAAAATATTTCCCACTAAGCTGATTCTCTGACAAATCCAGATAACATAGATTATTTGTAAATTTGTAATTAGAGGTCTATTATAATCTATACCTGTGAATGTGACCTTGAAAATGGTTGTGCCTCCTCTAATCGACTGTTGCACATTTATAGCAAGGACCATTTTACAAATTTTATAGTCTATAGACTTGTCCATGGATAAAGTAAAAAGAACTGTACCATAATTTTTAAAACTATGATTTGATTTACCTATTATTGTAGGCCAATTTTTACCGGAAGGAATTATCATGGTCAAAACCCAACCAAGTCCATCTTAAAGTTGAAAATGCATCAATAAAACCAGTAAGGAACAGGCAAAAAATGAATGTGACCTACAAGATAAGACTTAACAAAATATCTCGAGCCCTGAGAGCAAAACCCCATCTTTCTTATTCTGAATAGCACATCTTTAAATCCTATTTTTCATCCCGAGCCAAAAATAAAAAAAATATGCCGTCACTGATGTACGAGTAAAATTTTCCAACAATAACAGTTGCAGTATGAGAGATTATGAAGATGTATAATGCCTCTGTATGTAATATTCTGTATGAGTTTTTTTACAATGGAATATAGAAGGCTACCAGGAATAGCTATACAGAGCAAAAAGGAAATGAAAGAAGGAAACCCACTGAAGGGCCAAGAGAAAATAGAAAGGAGATATCAAATCAGTTCATCCACATAACTGAATTAGCTATATACTAGAACCCTGCCCACACGTAGCCCTTTAGGCAAAAGTTAGTTGTTTTGATCCTCTCACTACTTCTCTTTCTTTTATCATGCACATCAATTGTCACCTGTCTATCTGTCATTGTATCTTGTGATCCTTCTTTGTGTTTTTCCTCATTTACCATTTCTATATTTTTAATTGTTACATGTACAGATACGAGTGAAACACAACAGATAAACTAAAACAACAATTCTTATACTGACATTAGGTAACGTAATGCAAGCATAATCATATGAACAAAGTCCTAAATTTAAATATGCTTTTCCACAAGTTCCATAACTCCTGCTTCAACCATATGTTCCATTGAGACGCAATATAATTTGAAAGGAAATTACAGCTAATCACAAAACTTAAAACTCTCATAAGATCAGCCAAGAACCATGCTTTAAAATGATGATTGTCTCAATAACTCTTAACATTATAAAAATTTTGCCCTTAATTAACAAAGAAATAAATAAACATATACTAAGCACCTTTATTCATGATACAGAAACATTGTCACTGTCACCTAAACAACTGTAAATAAGTCTCATCTCACCCAGCACCAGCAGAAGCAGCAGCAGCAACACACCAAGACATAAAGCTAGATTCAGAAAATAATATCATCATCTTTCTCAGTTGCAACAGACAACAAGTTATGACCAGAATTGAAAGCAACCCCTTTGCGCAAAGGAAGCTTATCAACCTTAGACAACTGCATCTGCTTCTCAATTTCCCTCTTCTTATAGCCTTGAATCTTCTTGAGCCTGAAGAAATCCTCCCTTTCAAGCTCATCCAACTCACCCTTAATATAACTAATGGTATTCTCAAGGCGAGGCTTAACCACATTCTCAAGGGCATTGACCCTACGATTGGTGGTTTTGATGGCTTCATCAAGGGTCAGAAAAGAGGTCTGAAGAGAAGCCAACTCAACAAGAACCTCAATGGCTTTTATGTAAGCAGCACGACACTGCTGAACCTGTTGGCCGCCACGTGCCAATCCCGTGAGGTCATTCTTCGTGACCTCACCGTCGGAGGTGTAATCGAACTTCGGCAGCTTAACGCCGGCGACATTCTCCTGCCGGGAACGGACACGGAGAGAAGCTTCTCGAACATTCTCGAGAACCACGTGCTTGATGTTGTCGCCAGCAACGTACTTGGCTTCGGTTAAGGCAAAGGACGAGGTTTTCATGATGTCGCCCATTGATTCCTTCGTGGACACGATCTTCTTCAGGATCTGTCGGAACTGCACCGTGAGCGCGTCGCTCTTTTTCTTCAGAAGCGCGTGGCCTCTCGTTGCTCCCACCAAACGAGCCTTCACCACTCCCAGCATCGTCACTGTGGGAACCACATTCAGACGCTGCGTTTGCCCCGACATCGTTGCTTTCTCTTTTTCTCAAACAAGATCTAATTCATCGTCAACACACAAATGGGGGTTTCATCGTCAGTGAATAAGATTCGATTTTGGTCTCCGAAACGGAAAACCAGTGTGCTTTAGAATAAAGGGTACCGACGCGTGAATTGAAAAATTTTACATGCCAACTAAACACACAACCCGCAGAAATTCGCATCGCAACAATCAAAATCGGATTGGTGAAATTCGAAAAAAAAAAAAGAAGGGAGAAATTAAACAAAATTAATGGTTGAAAGAGGAAGATAAAACCAGGGACTTACCTGTCGGACTAGGAAGTTGACGATCGGAGATCGAGAACACAGAGAGAACGAAGAAGAAGAGAGTGTATGTGCTGAATCATATGGGTTTTTTGTTGTTTGGGTTGGAAGTGGGCTTTCAATTATTGGCTTGAGTTTATCCCTTTCATGTTCTTACTGTAATTGGGCTTTTTTATTGTTTTCAAACTTAAAATATGGCTCATCCATCTATAACCATTCATTGGCCAAGCTGTAGCCCACTTATGGCCCAAAACAAATATATTCAGCTCCATCCTCTCCTCCATATAAAAAAAATAACTAAAAATCTTCTCCTCTGTCCAATTACATACCCATTTGAAATAAATAAGTACGAATTTGTTTACTTTAAAATATATATGTATTTAACATTTTTAAATGAAATTTATATAATTGAGTTACTCAGATCTCTTCGAGTGTATTTGTGTAATTTTATATAAATTAAAAGATTATAAATCAATTACTATTGGTCTATTTTCACTATCAAGCAAGTAGGTAAATTAATTGATAAGAATTATTGCAACTTAACTTATAATTTTGTGTTTGAGTGAATATTTACACGTGTTGGGGTATTATATACCAAAAAAGAAGTTTGGCCCATTTTGATTAACCAAGACACGCAAAACACCCGATTTGGGTAAAAAGTGTAGGGTGTACAGTACATTGGAATGACTTTGTCAGCGGTGGAGATGAACGCACGAACAAAACGTGAGACAATTCTTTTAAACTCTCATTGTCTTATCCATGGAAAGTGAACCAACACACAAGAGTGTAGACATAGGACTAGACGAGTAAACGACGACTTGTTACTAAATAAATAACTAAAGTGCATTTGTTTTTTGAAAAAACGTGAAGGTATACATTTTTAATTCAATTTTAAAATGGTCATTCAAATTTAGTGTAAAGCCTAAATTATCAAAGAAAAATCAATTGATGTTTTATGCATATAAAACTTGAATAACGTTTTTAATATACGCTAAATTAACTTTTATTAAAAAAATACCTCATTAGATAACTTGAGTTTAAACCATTCATTAAAAACCATTGGTTTGTGTCATATACATGGAGCCCAACAAAATCATGATGGGAGAAGAATTCTTAGAAAATATACGCAAAAAATAACAATAGAAAACATGTATCCTAAAATACTAAAAAAATTCACATGATGATTAAAATCAAATGATAGACATATTAATCCTAATTTTTGTAAATTTAGATTTCTATTACACAAATGAAAACACATGTTAAACTGGGCTCAACTTGAATAACTAGTAGTTATTTGAGCTGCATTATTTGCAGTGAAGTCAAAATATTTGTTGAGAGGGTCAAAATATAAAATTAAAGAAAGCTTACAAGAATGATCTATAATAATATTAAAGAAAAGTGTTAATTTATCATTTTTTATTTGTCATAACCACGACTAAACCCAAATCGCAATAGCTCTTGAAAAAATCATATATAATATTTTATAAAATAACATATTATTTTGGTTGAGATACATTGACTTAGAGAGCCAAATACCATTGATAGATCTCCTCACAATTATTTTATTTTAAAAATGTCCATTTATTTATAATCTATGTTTTTATTGCAAAATATCATTATTGAGTTTATTTTAAAATGACAACATTGAAGTGAGACTACGGCAATCCCAAACGTAAGTATTGAATTATCTTGGTGTCGACCGCACGTGAATATAGAACGTGTGACATGTTGCGCTGAAAAGCCCACGTGCGTATGAGTCAGTTTCACTTACGCTTTATTTAAATTATGCAGAGGAACTTGAAACTTTAAGCTGTATTCCTTTTTCGGCTGGATTACTTTAAGATAATCTTTTAATATTATGTTATAAAATATATAAATATTTTTTAATTTTTAAAATATTAAAATAATCACAATTATTAAGACAAACCAAATATTCATTTTAATTTAATTTTTACAGAGTACAAAAACAATACTATAAAGTAAAAGAGGAGATATATATTTATTAATTATTTGAGTAAGTACAATATGGTTTTTGTGGTTATATAAAAATAGAATTATATTTTTTAATGGTATTTTAAATAAGAGAAAAATGATTATTACTTGTTAGTAAGGGAGAAGCTATTTTGTACTTTACTGCGCGTTAGTTTGGATTTTCACTAATTTTGTCTTTAAATTTATCTACTCACTTGCTTTCTTGGATTAATGTTCACTGTAGTAAAAGAGAAGAAATGTGTTTATTAATTGTTTGGATAAGTACATTGTGATATTTGTGGTTACATAAAAATATAATTGTATTTTTCAATAATATTTTAGATAAGAGGGAAGTCCTGAATTATATTATTCTGAGGTCCTGAAAATAAATATCACTTGTTAATAAGGGATAAATTATCTTGTTAACTAATTGGTATTTGAACTCACGAAATTATATTCGTCTTAACTTTATATAAATATATTTTATTTTTTATTTTTTTGAATAAGTAAATTTTTAGTCTGTATATATAAATTTTGAGTTTTTTTTAAACTCTCTAATAATATATATTTTATCTATATAAAAGAAATACTATGGAGTAAAATATATAGCCGTGCCGCACACGATTTACTAGTGGGTTGATAAAATTGGTCACGGATTGATATGTTTAATTAATTTTGGGTGACAAAAAAGAAAAGAATAGCGGCATATAAGATTCATTTAACTGGATCTAAATTAGTTAGACAAAAAGGTAAACTATTAAATAGAAGCCGACATTAAATCCTGATTGTTATGTTTTACGTATTATTATTATTATTATATTAATTTTAAGTAGTTCAATTAATCAAATTTTAATATTAGTATGACGCTATCGAAAATGGCGTTGAAAATGCTTATCTCATGCATGGCATCACTTTTCATGACTCTCGTTCTCTAACTTTTACTGTTTTTGACTTGTAGTCAATTTGTGAAAAATGAAAGTTAATTATTAAGTTAGCACATAATTTTTTTTTTGCTACTTTCTTTGTTGTTATTTTTATTACAAAATCATCAAGCATATTGTTATAAAGTATATTTAATAAATTTTAAATTGTCAATAAGATGATTGTTCAAAATATTATCTTTTGAGTTATGAATTAAATTTAGTTTAGAAATTTTAATTTGTCAATTAAAATATTATAAGCTAACTTAATAATTTTAAAACATTTAATAAAAGTAGTCACTGAGGTATCTGATAAATGTGAAATAATATGAAATCAGTTACAGTTTTCCTTTAAAAAAACACAAATAATAAGACACGTTTCAAAGGGATTTTATTCAAATTTTAATATATTTAGAGGGGGAAAAAAAGCATATTTAAATCACATATACTTCTAAAGTTTTGGCACATTATTTATTATATACGAACCTTTTATCCTTTTTGAGTAATCTCCCTTTTCCTAATCATATCCTTTTCATTTATTTTAATCATCTAGTTTAATTCAAATCACCTCCAATCGAATTTGATACTATATTTTAATCAAACTAAATTAAATTATAATTATTTGTATATATTAGATTGAAAATTTTTTCGTCTAAACAATCTAATTTAAATACCGAATACTTCCTACATACAGATGAAGGAAGCAATAAGAAATTGAGAATAAAGACAATTTTATGAGACCTTGAGACGAAGAAATTAGATTGAAAAACAAGAGTCAGTTTAATATAATCCAAAATTTACTTCAGCAATATCCCAATCATTTAATTAAAGAACCGCAGAAAGTTGCTGAATTCCATGGTTGATTTTGATGATGAAGAGGAAAGTTTATAATTCTCCCAATTATCATCCTTACTCATCCTTTCAGTTGTTCAAGTGAGCTTTATATAATTTAAATAAACTTTAAATAATAATAAAAATATTATTTTTAATTATAAAAAATGAGTTTAAACAATCAACAGCGATAAATTCTATTAAAATATTTAATTAAATTTGAATGTAATAAATATTATTTTTTTTATATATTTAAATTTAATTTTAAGAATTAGAGTTAATACAATTCATAAGAAAAATATATTTAAACAAAAGTAATCACTTTCTCTCTAAAAAAATAGTCTCTTTAGTCAAATTTATTTTGCTTAAAATAATAATTACCTTACAATTTCAATACATATTTAATTTTTAAAATATCATTTTTAAGATAATTACTGCCTCGAAATTCATATTTTATCTTCTTTCTTTATTCATTTATTACATAAAAAATTATAAAATAAATATAATAATAAAAATAGATATTCTTGCAAAGACAAAGATTGTAATTTTCAACGATGGAATGAGCCGCCGACATATAAGTTGACAAAGTCACGTAGGATAGGAATCTACAAAGTCATTCCGAAGTCAAATAATGTGTAATTGTTGGTTTGGTTCCTTTACTTCTTCCCATTGTTTCTGTACTTTTTCGCTTGCCTAAACCAAATGAAAAAATAATATAAAAAATATATTTTATATTAATATTTATTTTTGTACTTTTTAAAAATTTGTAATAAATTATAAGTAAATGATAAAGGGGGTATTAAAAATATATTTAAAAGTGTGTTATAAATGAATCAAATGTCTATTTGTCTGTGATTGAAACCAAACCAGAAGAGAGTCAAAGAGACAACCCATGCCACCAATTGTTGTCAGGTGTATAGTCAAGCAGTTGAGCACTTGATGCGCCTGCCTTCAAATGTAGACAAATTAAGAAACACCTTGTGGTTGAACTTGAACCAATCCATTTCTTTTTTTTCAAGCATGTGTTCAGAACTAAGACCACACCATTTGAATTCCTCCAACTAAAATGTCTATAATTGGGTGCGGTAATTAAATGGACGTGGACATTCTATGTGAACATGCCATCAGAAATTTCTTCCCTTTCCATTTTGTGGCTCGCATTCAATGCATTGACCCAATTGGCTTATTATCCAGAGATCTATAGTAGCTACCGTGCCATGGAATGCTTCTTTATTATTAATTTGGTCATGCTCCATCAGTGGGTCTCAATACTTTCTTCCAATAGTTTTTGAGTATCAAATCTCACTATTCAAAGTCTATTTGTTTACTGCTATTCATGTCTATTTTACTAAGATTTAAAATATTACGTGACAGTTTTTCTCATGTAAATCTTCTTTTACACCAATCTTTATTTAGTTCAATATAAGGTATCGCTACTTGTTCTTTTTCTTGCCGGCCCCACTCTACTAGTTATTGAAAGTTTTCTATTTAATGAGATTTTTCAGCATTGCACCAGTTGCAACATGCATGTGCTGTCTTTATTATATATGTACAACAAAATAATGTGTTATAGCATGCATATTATAGAAGCGAGCTAGCTGTTTGTGAATATGACCTCATATTTTTAAACTTAAAACTTGAAAATAATTGAAGTTCTTCATTTCTTCCCACAAGTATGTTTAGTAATGCAACCTCGTGTTAAATTGATAATGTTTTTATGTTAAAATCACCAAGTGTGTGTGTGTGTAATGTATACAATATCAGCATTTGTCGATATTAGTTTTTAAAAAAATTGGTAAGATTTCAATTTCTGATACAGAAAACGAATTCCATCGCTGTTATTTGGCATGAAGAATACACCAACTCATAATGGCTCTTGCAGAGACAAATAATAATAAAGTTTAGTAGTTAAGCTTTTGTCCTTAAAGATTTGTAATTTTTTAAGTTTTTTAAAGCAAATCTTTTATAAAAAGAAATTGCAAAACAATAGTCTGTTCTGTTTATTAATTGTTTCTAATTATCTCAAAATTTTATTTACTCCTTTATTTTAGGGGGACTAAATGAAAATTTCATGTTTTTTTTTATAAAAATTAAATAATTTTTTCGTACTATTCAGAGAAACTACATAAATAATTGGTTTTTATATAATTATATAAATTAAAAAAGATCAGAATAATATATAAAAAAGAAAGTATCAATTAAAATTCTGTTAAACTTTAAAGTGTATAAATGTAGTTTACTCTAATTTTTTTATGATATTTATAGGGGAATTGGCAAAGTAAAATTTGTGAGTTAGGTTAAAGAAAGTTAACTCATAAATTGCTCAATTTTTTTCTAAATTAACTCACTTAATTTACCAATCAAATTAAAAGCTCTTGAGAAATGGTGCTTTCGATCTCAATCCCTTAAATATACAGGTGAACTACAATCTTTCCTTCTTAATTAATTAGAAGCGTAATAACTTTAGTAATTAATGGAATCTTAAGATATCTGCTGTTACTCCATGTCTCCATCTGATGTTTGACCCCAAAACTCACCTAAAAACGTGGTCAACCATTGGGATAATCTAACGGTTTCTACGGATGCCACGTGGCTTCCTGCTCGTCGGTGTTTGACTTCTGTGCATTATTATTTGTTAATGATAATAATTATTGTATGGCAAACTTTAACACAAAATGTATATACTAAATTGAGTTTATTTTCTTGATAGGTTTTTATTACCTAACACTAAGTTCACATGACATTGGAGGTCCTCTGATAAAAGTATATATATATATATATATATATATATATATACATTTTATCTTACTTTTACTTAATATTAATTTTTCATTTATTTTTTTTCTCTCGATTCTCACACGTGAAAATCGTACATTATGATATTGATTTAGACATGTTCCGCAAGGACGTCCAAGAATAAAGTAAAGAGACTAAGATTCAAAGTTGATCGTTTCTGCAAAATATTAATATTAATATTTATAAATTTCTTCGTAAAATTAAATTAATTACATTTTTAGTATTCATTTTTTGCACTCTTCTATTTCACGAAAAATGGAGAGAGATTCACTCTTTTTTTTTAGTTTTTCTAAAATAAAATGCATAGAGAAAATAATATAAATATGAGATGAATGAAATTGTTGTATTTTGTGGCAAAAGTGTAAGTTACGCGTAGAAGATAGAAAGTAAAGAAGGCAAGTCGACTATTAGAAAATAGGAATAGTTTAATAATAATACATGCAACGTGGAAAATGTTTGAAATAGTTAACGTACGTGAAAACAAAGAAAGAAGGGCCCTCCATACAGAAAGCCCCACTACTTCTGTATTTTATTTTTTTTATTTATGAAAGTAAATTTAAAAGAAGATAAAGAAATAAAGGAAACGACACATTAACTTGGTCAACATAATGACTATACACCTGACCTGAGTTCTAGCCTAGGTTTCTCCAGTCGCCATAACTTATATTTAGTTCCAAAAAATCATTTCCATTAATATATTTATCAAGTCGTTTATTTCTTTTTCAGATGAAATTATCCATAGATTTTTGGAAAGAAAATAAGCTAATAATTGTGTAATGTGAAAGTGTTGAAATATTTATAAATGATAGTTGATAGGGTAATCTTGTTCAGGTGACAGATGGGCCCAGTTGAATCCACAAGTTAATTTTACTACATTTGACTGAGTGATTTGACTTGGAAATTTGATTTCCAACCATTTTGTTGTATCAGGAATTCACCGTCGTAATATTCGTGTCCCCCCCAATTTTCTTCTATTAGTATTATTTGAAAATAATAATAGTACATGGATCTACACGTTCATCTTATCTCTATCTAGTAACAAAATAATAATAATAATAAAATGGAACAGGACCAGCTTCATTGTTAATGATGTTCATGCATGCCAGCTTTTAAATTCAGCAAGTGGGATATTATTTCGCATGTGTCTCTTTCCACTTAGTTTCCTTACTCAACTTGAGTTCGTGTTTGTCAAGTGCTACCTCTATATATACGCTTTTTTCCCCTTTGTTCACTCTGAATTCTTGAAAGTTTCGGTCTTTTCTCCTTGCTTTTAGATACTGCTTTTTGGGTTTTGCATCCAACAAAACTAGAGAGAAAAAAGTGCTTATCTTGGGAAGTGATACCTGGTTGAATTTATTTGGCAGCCATGGATTGTTCATCATGGATTAACACTTCCTTGGATCTCAACATTAATCCTCACAAAGTTCATGAAGAAATTCCCGTAAGTATAAAACTATGTAAAGAAGGAATGATGTGTTATTCTTCTTCCACGCATTTCTCTTATGGGAAACCGAAAATGCTTTAATTAAGAATATAGTTTGATATGAGGAGTAATTCATTGTTGTTGTTTGTTGATTTCAGAAGGAGGTGGAAAGCAAGCTTTTCTCGTTAGGTATGACCAAGTTTTCTGAGGAAGAAGAGGTTAGTTGAGTTGAACCGATTATTTATTTATCAATTAGTTCCTTTTTTCTTTCTGGAACAGTTAATTTAAGTCTCAAAATGGGAAAGTATATGTTTTTTTATGTTGTTTTCTGAGGTGAGAAACATAAAACTCTATGAATGATTCTAATATATGGATGGATGCTATTGCTGTGATTTCAGTCCACTAGTGACTTGGAGGAGGAACTGAAGAGGGTGACTGCAGAAAACAAGAAGTTGGCTGAAATGCTCTCAGTGGTGTGTGAAAACTACAACACTTTGAGAAGCCATTTGATGGACTACATGAGGAGAAATCCTGAGAAGGAGCAAAGCCCATCTTCAAAGAAAAGGAAATCTGAAAGCAGCAACAACAATAGTAATCTGATGGGAATCAACAACGGAAATTCAGAGAGCAGCTCTACTGATGAAGAATCATGCAAGAAGCCCAGGGAAGAAACCATCAAAGCAAAGATTTCAAGAGTTTATGTCAGAACAGAAGCATCTGATACAAGCCTTGTAAGACTCTTTACTCTCCTATGGGCTCCTACTTTTCATTCACTCTTCTACTTGGGTTCTTGGGTTTGACAGGATTTTTCATTGTATGTGGTTTCAGATTGTGAAAGATGGATACCAATGGAGGAAGTATGGGCAAAAGGTGACCAGGGATAACCCATGTCCAAGAGCCTATTTCAAATGCTCTTTTGCTCCAAGTTGCCATGTCAAAAAGAAGGTAAATAAATGGGTGCTAACTAGGAAATGATTAAAATGTTAGTAAGTAATTGAGTGGATCTCAAGCTAACTTGGTTTTGGTCTTGTTTGGTTGTTTTAGGTGCAAAGAAGTGTGGATGATCAATCTGTGCTTGTTGCTACATATGAAGGGGAGCACAATCATCCTCAGCCTTCTCAAATGGAGGCAACATCAGGTTCAGTGCCTTGTGCAGGATCTCTCAGCACTTCTGCTCCAACAGTTGTTACCCTTGACTTAACAAAATCTAAGTGCAGCAACGATTCCAAGAGTACAAAACCTAAAGTACCTCAGAATTTGGTTGAACAGATGGCTAATTCTTTGACCACGGATCCTAATTTCAGAGCAGCACTCGTTGCTGCCATCTCAGGAAGATTGTTGCACAAGAATTAAATGGAAATTTGGTAAAGTGAAGCTAATTTAGTTTCAATTGTTAAGTATTCCATAAAATAGATCATTGTTTAGAGGTTAGAGCAAGGGATCACTATATGTATATACAACGTAGAAGGGTGGGACATATTTCTCAATTTGATCCTTCAAGTGGAAATAAGTTCCACTAAGGATAGTATCTTGAGCTGATTAAACAATAGAAAATCAAGCTCAGTTCACTCTGCTCCTCCCATATACTTCATCATGGTAAGGATCTAGCTAGCCTTTATCGGCCAAAAAATCTAGGATACATCAATTAGTTTCCCGACTAAGTTCTTGCAAAAATTCTCTGAAAGAAATGAAATTCTTTCATACAGTGCATTTCTCATGGCAATTGGATTTCTCCTTTCTTTTCTTTTAATTCTACTACTTTCTCTGGAAAGCCAACCTTGTATCTCAATGTTGAATGTACAGGCTCAGCTTCAGCTTTAGATTTTTCATTTTAGAAATTATGTTACAGATCCATCAAATATTGTAAGTGATGGAATATTACTCAAAACGCAGAAGAAAAGAAAAAGCATCTGTATGATGAGTTTTCAATTCAATGGTTGATATTTTGAGCAGCAAGTGAATTTGAAGTTTTAATTTGTTCTAGTTTTATACTGCTATAAAGCGTTGTGTTTAATTTTTGAGAGATAAATTGAAATACAATTTTTTACAAATGTATGCGCGTCACACGATTGAGAATGGTTTTTATTGAAAGCAAATTCTCGTTAATCTAACAAACTAAATTAGTGAGTTTCTCTATAATATCTACGGTGTCACGCAAATTTTATCAAAAAGCAAAAAGCATGATCTTCAGGATGACCCTATTGAACGATATATGGTAAATTTTGCTTTTGGTTAAAAGGAATTCAAGTTCAATTTCGAGGCTTCCTAGTGAAAGAGTACAACTTAGGATGACCCTTAGAGTCTTGGACTAATTGGTGGCTAGTCCTAGAGCCTAATAGTATTTAAACCATTCATTTTCTTCAACAAAACAACTCCACCTAAATGCTTTGAACTTCTGACGGCAATATTTTAGTACTAATTTCATGAAATTAGGTAGCTAGTAGAAAGTAATTGGTACCACAATACTGGGATGTTCAACCATTAGTTCAAAGGAGTCCAGCACAGTACCTAAATGACCACAGACCAAGTAGGTAATGCTGGACATAGTTGACGGTATGACGGCGGAGACTTGAAAAGATAGAAAGCAAAATAGCATAGTGAATAAATAACCTCAAGGGGCCCGGTCTGGTCCCAATCATAGGGTAATTGGTCTAAGGAAACTATTGTCATGACCCCATAAAATAAAATATAGTGTAGGCGAAGTGCAACTATAGCCGGCTAATTAATTAGTATATCTTTAATACACAAGAACATGAAGAATTGCCAAAGGTCATTTTGCTTTTCAAATACAACTGCCTTCTGGCTATTTCATTCACACGTGTATGGATTTTGTACACTCCACAACCTACTCATCTCCCTTACAACTATCTGACTAACAATATGATCATTAACCAAAGTCATGGTACTACTTAAGAAGTGAAGCTCAATTTGTTTACAGCTAGCAACAGGCCCACCTCAGTTTGTTCCTCATTTGCCTTCTCTTTGACCTTAGAGTTGAGTGAGCTCTCTTTGCCCATTGCTTCTGCATTGGAGGTACACTCCTTGAATCTGAAGCAACTGATAAGGTGGTCATTTGTTAGCCCAGCTACTTGAATGAAAGTATAGATAACTGTTGGTCCAACACTCCTGAATCCTCTCCTTACAAGGTCTTTACTTATGACTTCTGCTTTTGGAGATTTGACTGGTACTTGGCGTGGATACCTGAATTGGCTGACTATAGGCTTATGGTTCACAAAGTTCCAGATAAATGTGTCAAAGGACCCAAACTCCTCAATTACCTGCATTGCAATGGGAAAAAAGGTAGTCATAAAGGCAAAATAGGTAATCCGTGACAGTTATAATTATAAACTAATAAAAATTTATGATACCGCCCCTTAAAACAAGTTGAATTGAGAAATTATTTCTCTTTCCCAAGTCTTTTTCTTTTTTAATAAACGTCTGTGGGTCAGGAAGCAAGTTTATTTCGTTTTTCTTAAAATTTTCCATGGTAGGTAGCAGAAAAGTTTGAAAATTAAGTGTATGGGTTGTGATTCACTTCAGCAAGAGCATTTTGATTCAGGAAAAAAAATTACAAAGGAAAGAAAATTGCTACTTTTACACGTTATAGATAAGATTAGGAAAATAAGATATACAAGTGTTTACCTTACACATCTGACGTGCATTTTCAATTATGGATCGCAACCTGAGCTCTGATAGCAATGAGTTGGCAGGACTTCCTGGTGCAACTGTCTTTTTCTCATTCATTCTTGAAACAGCACTTGGATCAAAATCCAAAAAGACTTCCCTGTGTTCATGAATACGTTACAACCTTTCCTGATGTGTATGTGTAATATGCCAACCACTTAATTAAATCCAGAAAATATATTTCAAAGAACATTATATCAGTACCGAAATAACTGCCTTTTGCTAAGAATAGTAGGCCACGTGAGTTCAGCCAAGGCTCCAGAGAAGCTGAGCAACTCAAACAATTTCCTGCAGAAAAACCAGATTCCAGCATTGCGACACTTCAATCAAGAAGCTAAAAACAAAACAGAAGATTATGTTCTCACCAAGACAAATCCACATACCTGTCATCATGAACAGGAACTCCCCACTCTTCATCATGAAAAGCAACATAACATGGCTCTGAAACAAAAGAGAACAAATTAGAAATAAAAAATGTATGAGAAATTTACAATTACAAAGATAATGTAGCTTGTGTGTGTTTTATCTTAAACACATCCCCTTCCTCTGGCTTCTTTGTAAACAAAGGGCTAAATCCCGAAATTACAAAGGGAGAAGGTAAGGCAAGGATAACCCTATGCTATAAAGCACAAACACCGACACATGACATGACATGGGGGATACACAAAATGTTAATAATTGTAGGACACAAGTACAACACCCACATCTAGGGAGTATGTCCGGCCAGAGCATTTTCTTATGAGAGACTAATTTTTTATCATACAATGGTTAAGAATAGATTTAATAATTAAAATAATCCCAATCATGCATATATGGTTGCATAGTGTAGATTAACTCTTCTCATCTCTCATACAGTCAACAGATTTGACCTTGCTAAATATAGGCTTCATAATTCATATTCAAGATCGACAATTAACAAAATTTTCTAAAAATGATTTGTCATGATTAAAGTGGCTAAGTACAACTTCCATGCTGGATCTGAACTGGATAAAATAATTTCTAAATTAGATGCTTGCAGAAGTGTGTTAGCCATGTGTTGTCAATGTGTCATACAATACAGGTGTCTATATTGGGCACATGTCTGACATGCATACATAGCCCAAAATGGTGTGTTCATGATTCACAGTTTGCAAGTCATCCATGAGACACTAAGGTTTTGTTTGTAAGTTTGAAGGGAAAGGGAAGACAAGAGTTTGAGGGGTAAGGAAGGAAAGGGGAAGGAAGGGAGAAGGGTTAACAAAAAACTCCTAATTTGGAAAAATTTTAAAGCATAAGTTTAGAAGAGTTTTGGAGGATTTATAAAAAACTCCTCTCTCTTTTAAAAATTTTCAAATAAGCCTTCTTTTTCCTTTCTTTCTCTCCCAAAAATTAACTCCCAAATGAAGCCTTTGTTTGAGAGTTGTTTTTTTGGGAGAAAAGAGAAGAAGAGAGTTTATACACCCTTCAAAACCCTTTTAATCTCATGTTTTTAAGTTCTTTCAATTCGGAAAATTTTATATTAACTATCTTTCTTCTTCCTTTACCCTCTCCTTCCTTCCCCTTCAAATCCTTTCCTTCTTTCTCCCTCAAAATTTTCAAACAAAGCCTAAAAAACTGCATTAATGAGCAACTAGAGCTCTGGGAGATAGTTGCCTTCCCAATAGGTAGAAAGCACAAATACATTATGACACATACATGGAAATGGATCAAGATCTGCTCTAGTTCACACAGGAATTGGACGGTCCAATTTCGTTTTCACTCAAGTTTCGCTTAAGCAAATTTAGATTTGCTTAAATGAAAACTTAGTTTTTTTTTGCAAAAGCAGTAGGAGTGAGAGAGAGCAGGTGAGAGTGGGGGAGTTGGGGGCTGGGGAAGGGGAGTGTGAGCAGGAGGGGAAGGGGGTGGAGGAGTTGGGGGCTGGGGAGGGGAAGTTGGGAGGAGTGGAGGAGATTTAGTTACTGCATGAACTGGAGCGGAGCCATTTCCACATGGGGATACAATAGTATTTTTAAAAAATATGGGATACAACAAGGTTATAATAAAATGTATAAACATAGTAGTTAATTAATATTGTCCAGTTCACGTAGGAACTGGAGCGGATCCATTTTCACATGGAGATACAACAGGATTTTTAAAAACTATGGAATACAACAAGGTTATAATAAAATGTATAAATATAGTAGTTAATTAATATAAAACATATCTAAAATTAAAAGAGAGAACGGTTGTTTTAAGTGAGCATACATTATCGTAGACATAATAAAATGTTATGATTTATATATTGTGCTATTCTCATTTGTATTGGTATAAAGTTTAAAAAAGTAACAAAAAAAATTGTAAAAATGTAGCTAGGACTTAGGAGTATCGGATGATTCCTTGAAATGTTCGACAAGGGAAAGACACGGATACGGCTACTATTTTAGAAGTATGAGAGATGAATCTGGCAAGGTAGCTGTGAAAAAGTTTGAGCACCCTTAACCTTTTGAGAAACATGCATGGTACCGATCAAGAGAGATCAGTCAGTGACAGATACTGACACAATAGTTGGTCATTACACTGTTTATGTAGTACCTAAAAATCAACTTCACAAATACATGAAACGCAACCTAATATTATATCAGGCTTCCAAACCATCAAAATCAAGAATATATCTCCACAGGATACACTCAGTTCCAACATGTAATGTGGTCTACATATATGCAATACAAGGGTCAAAATTCTATATGATTTCCTTACTAAGCTTAAGCCCTGGAAAATTCATCATAAACATTGTACTTGTTTGCCTATCCTGAAATTCCCCATACCCTACACTGTAGTCAGTTACAACTTAACAAGCAAGTGCAGTTTTAGTACCCTCATTCTCTTCATTCGCCCTAACCATACAAATTCATCTCCGTTGGTTACAAAATCACACTGGCACCTCAAAACAACAAAATCAAAGTCAAAGCTAACAATAAATTAAATAAATCAGGAATGAAGATACCTGTGTTTGGTGTAACCCAAGTACACCTTTTCTTGCCCTCCAAGCTATCACTGGAATCTGCAACATCAAGAGCACCCGCATTGTCACTGTTCACCTTCTCCATCTTCGGACCACTCTGCTTCTTCCTCAAAGCCACACTAACACGCCGAGCCACTTTCCCGCTCGACGAAGCGCCGCTGCTGTGAGTGGAAGAGTCCGTCGAAGACGCGTCGGAGGAGCAAGAAGCGTTCATCGACAGGTTTTTCAGCATAGCTTGGTGATGTTCCTGCCGCTTCAAAATCGCTGGCGGAACAGAAACACATTGCGGATTCGAATGCACCACCGGCTTCTTCTCCATTTCCGGCGCCGATTTCTTCACCGGCTTCCGTCCATCGACTGGGCGAACCTTGTTGCAGGCGGGGACGAGCACCGGCCGTGTCTCGGGGTCGGCGACGGCCACGTTCATGGATCGAACTCTGGGTGGGCCCGACATTGCAAACCCTGAACTCTGGAACCTTCCTCTGAAGCTCTCAGGTCAATGCTGAATACAAATTTCAAAATTTAAGGTCTTCACACCCACTACAGAAAAAAAAAATTCTACAGAGAAACTAGACTAGGCTTGGAATTTTGAATTTTCAGTACTGGGATTGAGTTTCGAGTTAAGCAATGCAAAACCCTAAAAGGAATGAGGATTTCTTCAGCTGCATTTTTACTGAGAACTGAGCTCTGTAACTTTTTCTTCTTCTTCTTATTGTGTTGGTGAAAAAGGTAGAAGCTTTAGTTTGCCCTGTTTGCGTGCTTTGAGTGATGGTGGTGGAAATGGGAGTGTAGAGTGGTGAGAAAGTTGCAGGGAAAGAGTGAGAAAGTGAATGGCAAATTTTGTTTCAAAAATTTTTCGGAGTATGTGAATGGAAAATTCTGATGGTAAGTTGGTGGTGAAAGCAACGAATCAAAAAGGAGCGTGTGAGAGAGAGACAAGGAGAAAGCAAAGTTTGAGTTTCTCCAATGAAAAATTGACACGTAGGAAAGAGAAATTATCGACAATAGGACACTTTTGTCGGGCTCAATTCCGCGATTGGATGGGAGAATGTTATGTTATCCTATCATTCCTATGCCGCTGTTTTTGTCAATCTCAAAACGACAACCACAGTTGATGTCGTTTAAGAGCAGGTTGATGATAGCTGACAATAAGCTACACATGGTAAGGGTAAGGGAGTAGATGGGACCCACTTATCCAACGCTTTTCCACACATTCGAATGCTCACTAACGTGTTCTAACTTCTAAATTCTAATCTTATTGCAACAAACTTGTATTGTATGTAATATATCAGATCAGTGCAACCAAAGCGAAAATAGAAGCAAGTTCAATGGCTGCAACTTGTTATTATTTACTGCCAAATCCGAAAGCTTTTTCACCTTTACTCAGAAACCCACCTTCCACTTCCATTCCTTGGAATCACCTAAGGCACGTTTCATTGTTGGGTTCCGCTAGAAGAGCAAAAGTTGAGGCCAATGCTAAGAAGAAAAACCCTTGGCTAGACCCTTTTGATGATGGGGAGGACCCAGAAATGGAGTATGGTTCCTTGTTTGCAGATGGTAAGCAGGAGGAGGATCCTAGGCCACCGGATGATCCTGACAACCCATATGGCTTCTTGAAATTTCCTCCTGGATATGCAGTGGAGATAGCTTCCTTGGGATTGAAAGTGAGAGGAGATGTCAGAAGATGCTGCTGTGTGATCTCTGGTGGTGTTTATGAGAATCTCTTGTTCTTTCCAGCTATTCAGTTGATTAAGGACAGGTACCCTGGTGTTCAGATTGATGTTGTTGCATCTGAGAGGGGGAAACAGACTTATGAGTTGAATAAGAATGTGAGATGGGCAAATGCATATGACCCTGATGATGAATTTCCAGAGCCTGCTGAGTATACTGATATGGTTGGAGTTCTAAAGGTTCGCCACCATATTTTCTAAATACTATGTGTAAAGCAAGTTTTGATATTTTATTGTCTACACAACCATGGGACAGCTTAACGTGGGCTTTAAAGTTATCATAGCCAAGACGGTTGATTGTTATTGCAAAAATTTATGACACCCTTCTATAGAAGATAAATGAAAATTACATCATACTTTAAGGTTCATTATAAACATCCAAAAACAGTAAAATTTTATTAAAAAAATATTTATTACATTCAAAGTACAAAAATTATAATATTCTTTTTTCTCAATAAAATTTTCTTATTCATAGTTGTTTAAAATCATTCCTAAGTAGTAATATTAATATTCTAAAAAAATATAATCTCAAGATTAGATTCAGGGTGAAATGAAACGGTCTTTATTGAGAACACTACGCTTGTTAACTATTCATACGGCAGAAGCGGTGGTCACTGATTTCTGTCACGCCAGAGTGAAAATTTAATGGACATTTAACACTTGAGAGTTAGAGGGGCTTCCCTAACGTGAAGAAGCTTAAAGAACACTCCTTTCTTTATGGAATTCTAATGAAATTCGCATTTGCTGGGGCTTAGGTGCACAATGTTAGGCCTTACAATGTTGTAACCAAATATCAAAATTGTGCTGAATTTTGCTTGCTACTTCCCAGATTAAAAACATTTGAAATACTTCCTTGCTGGTATGGTTCAAATACTGATGATGCAGCGCTGCATTCTGCTTACAGAATAGGTACTATGACATGGTCTTAAGCACCAAATTGGCAGGCCTTGGCCATGCTGCTTTTTTGTTTATGACCACTGCCCGGGATAGAGTTAGCTATGTCTACCCAAATGTGAATGCCGCAGGAGCAGGATTACTTCTATCGGAAACATTCACACCCGATAGTCTAAACCTCTCAGAGGGAGGATATCATATGTGAGTTTATAGTACTAGGCAAAAAGTTTAGAGTTATATTAGGTAGATTTTCATGCCCTCGGTTAGACTTGAAATAAAAATTTTCTTTTACTGAATTGATCATTTTCGAGCATATAACTGAGAACAATTTCAAATGAGTTTGGTGGACTAGGTATCATCAGATGGTTGACTGGCTGGCAAGACCATTTCGAAGTGTTCCAAGGCAGCCAGTGCCACCACTTAAGGTATCAATTTCAAGGAAGCTGAAAGAGGTTGTGGAGGCAAAATACACAAAAGCAGGTGCAAGAAAGGGAAAATATGTTGTAATTCACGGGATAAAATCAGATTCAAAGGCCTCCATGCAGTCTAGGGGTGATTCTGATAGCTTGTTACCCATTGAAGTGTGGGCTGAAATTGCTGATGCCATAAGGTATGGAATGTTGCCCATTAAAATTTGGGTTATTGAACATCATGCTTAATAATGTTAAATAAATAAGCACTCTTAACAGAATTGTCTCTGTCTTCTATCATTGCCCTGTATGAATGTTACGGACAATATTTTTAGTGACAGGGAAGTTACGCCACTTTTTGTCATTCCACATGAAAAAGAAAGGGAAAATGTTGAGGAAATTTATGGAGAAGATGCCTCTATAGTCTTCATTACCACCCCTGGACAGGTACTCAAGTATCTTTAGTTGTTTTGCAAGCAACAAACTTATAAAGAAAAACTAGATAGAAAAAAGAAAATGTCAAAACATTAAACTGAAATAATGAAGGAAATGCAGAAATAAGGGACAGAGCAGTGAGCTTCGGAATCTTCATATAATACTAATGGGATTTCATTATCTGGTTATATGCTTCAGATGGCTGCTCTTATTAACGACTCAGCTGGAGTGATAGCTACAAATACAGCTGCCGTTCAGCTTGCAAATGCACGCGACAAACCTTGGTAATTTTAATTTTATCATTCAAAAAAAATTATAATTGTTCTTAAAGGGCCCCTTTATTTAGATTTGGAGCAAAAAAAAAAAGGTCCAAAGCTGAGCATGAAATGTTTCTAAAGAACCTTAAAACTGTTTCTCTTATTATGCAGCATTGCACTATTCTGCTCTGAAGAGAAGGGGAACACGTTTGTTCCGCAGGCTGAAGAGAATAAATGCGTTGTAATATCATCCAAGACAGGGAAGTTGATAGATATTGATGTTGAGGCTGTAAAAAATGCAATTCAAACTTTCCATGTATCTCCAGCTTTAGTATAGTGGGAGAGGGCAAAAGGGAAGGGTTCGGGACTTCAGGTTAAGTGATTATATTAACTGTCCTTTTCTTTATAATTAATAAAGATGAATGTACATCTACAAATTTATGGTGCACTTCGTTTTCTGAATGAGAAAAATGGAATGAAAATGAAAGTCAAAACACTGCAAAAGGGTTGAGAAAATCGTGAGACAGAAATAAATCTATTGAAATAAAGAAAGGGGTGAATCCATTTCGTCTTTGATCCACACAATGAAAAAACAGGCGAACTCTTATCATAGGTGGGGCGTTGCAATCATTAAAGCTAATCAGTTAATGTTAGAAATACATATTTCATGAGAAAAATAAAGAAGTTTGCAGTTTATTTGAAATAATTTGATGGCATCAGAACATGTAAATAGAAATGTCATTCCAATGCAGAGGAGAGAGACAACAACATACAAAGAATTTTGCACCTCAGCTACTGCTCAATCCTTCAAGTTCTTTCTAATCTAGAAATAAAATTAATGGAGTGGCTTGGCACGAGTAGATAGATCTTCCTTTGATTCTACATGCATCATAAACACATATCCTAAAACCCACAGGAGAATGTATTGAAAAGGAACCCATGAGAGGCATGCAAGAAGACTCATAATGCTGCCAACATACTGAGGATCTTTGATGACCCCAAAAGGGAATTCGGTCACCCAGGGAATAGTTTTTCCAAAGCGTACACCATAGTATGTGCCAGCCTCACCGAGTAGCTGGTAAACCCTGTTATTTGAAAATTTCACCATTATGCATAGACCAACTTCAAAGCAACCAGTCAAATAATTGTTCCCTGATTAAAATAGAACATTTGGACACATCAAAACCTTTTTAAAATAAATGATGATGGAAACGGGCTAGAAATTTCTAAAACCGTACGCTGTTTTATCAAAAAGATGGCATCCCTCTCGCCATTTTTTCATTTATTATTTCATCCAACGAAAATTAATTTGCAAACCATTATGTCATCTATTGGGATACATAATTTATCAACTGCAGACAACAATCTCTTGTAGAACTGTTTCCCAGAGTAAAAGATAGTCTTTTCATTTTAAACATTTTTAATAATCACACACAGGAGATGTGTTTCCAGTGTCCATGGTGAGGTTTGGCAATAAAAACATCCCTTCTACAATAATTATATGCTCAGAAAGACAGCCACAAGATCTAGTTTGATTCCTGTTCCTTTAAAGCTACACTCAGGCAGCAAACATCGACATCACACCTCCATTCCATAACATGGTATATTGTTCAAAACATCTATCCCAATTCTTACATTATAAACTTACCCCATTCTACCAATTTGTGTAGCAAACATGATGCATTTATTTCACAAGCAATCATAACATCAGTACCTATATCAACCAACACTTAAGATCTGCTTCACATACTTCAGTAAACGTAGCAACAGCCCTGGTATAAAGGATGTCTCACATTGTTCAAGTCGAAGTAACCGACCAAAAAAATCGACTATCAATACAATATCCATAAAATCATTTATCATTATCGTTGGATCAGCAACAAATGCTTCCCTCACATACTCAAGCTCACATTTTTACCTCACCGCCAATTAAGAAACTAACTAGCCATTGAGAGTTGAGACTAGCAAAACTTCGAAAGTACTAGCCAACAAGGACAATAAAACTTTCCCACTACTATTCTATAAATAACAAAATTTTAAAAATGTTCCATTTCAGAAGCAAGGTAAAGAAGAGGAAGGAACTTGGAAAAGCCCATTAGAAGATGGAGAAAATTTGAGCATACCCAGAAAAGAAAAAGAAGCAAACCTGAAGTTTAGGAATTGGCCAAAGGCAAAAAGGGGCCAAAAGTAGAAGGGAGGAAGGGAATGGAAGGAAGAGACATAGAAGAGGGAGATGAACTGAAGCAGTTTCAATAAATGAGCAACGTAAGCCATAACCTTAGATGGGTCTCTCTCTTTACCGCAGAGGTCGACCCATGATTGTGGCCAATTCCAGAGACAGTAATAGAAGGGAAACGGTGACAGCACTCCAATGGCCGCTGCAATTCCCATCACTCTCTGCTTTCCCTCACTCTGCAGATCCTCCTTTTTGTAAAGGTCTTCACATCAGATACCACCCCGTATAATAGGGGCACACCCTTCATTTTAGCATGGGTCCTCCAAATATTTTTATTAAAAAATTAAATATTTATTATTTTTAATATAATAAATTTATTATATTTAGATACCTAAATTAATTTTAAAGACGTGAATTAATCTTTTGAAAAATAATTTTTTAATGTGTAATTAAAAATAAATAATAAATTATTTAAATTTAAATTTAAGATATTTAAATTTATTAAATATTAAATATTACAATTTTTTAATAAAAATATAAATTCTTATTACGTATTCTTATTATGTATTCTTAAATACATATTAAAATATTTAAAATAAATTTATTTCAATACGGACTATCATTTACTGTATTAATTGAGATCAACAGGAAATATTAAATTTAATTTCAAAATAATTACCGTTGATCGTTTATACTGTTCGTTTTGAAGAAAAGAAAAAGAAATTTTTCAATAAAAAATGTTAAGAAAATTTATAAAAGATTTGGTATAAGAGAAAAATAATTTTTTTTCAAAATTGTTTTAAAACTGTTATGACACGAAATATATATTTATTACCAAAAAATTAAAGATCAAAATTTATTAGTTATAATTTTTTAGATAAAATTTAAGGGATTTATTATTTAGCATTGTGTTTAAAGTGAATTGTTAAATAAAAAATGTGGAAAAATACAAAATAAATCAATAAAAACTGCATGGAACTAGTTATAAAGCCATGACATTAAATTCCACACTCACTTGGTTTGAATGGTTGGGTAAGGCATCAAACAATGGTGTACTAATGAAATAAGATTAAAAAGAGATATTTTTTTTCTTAATTTCTCAATATTTTTGTCAAAAATAGAAAGTAAATTTCAATTAATTTTTGTTCTCTTCAAGTTCTCACGTAAAATTACATAATAAAGACTTCAATCTTCATTCACATTTTTTTCACCTATTTCTTTCCTCCCTTATTCACTAATACAAAACACATTCTCAATAATGAGGTTTAATAATTGAAAATTTCTCATAAACTAAAAGCTATTCCAAATAGAAAAAAATTACTTTCTGCTGTTATATATGTTAAAAAGTATATTTCCATCTATTTTATTTAAATTGATTTTTTTAGCAAATTATAAGGATTTTTCTTAGTTTCTATTATTATTTTTTATTTTAGTCCTTCGTAGATTTTTATTGTATTTATTCTTTAAAATGTTTTTAACACCTATTAATTTTTTGTTTTGTTTTGCTGATGGTTGGTTTAGCCCTTGGCATGAATTTAAGTGTTCTTAGAATATTTATTAAGAAGTTAAATGTATAATTTTTTATTAGAAATGTTATTAATATTTTTATTGCAATTTTATTGTATCTTTAAAAATTATTATTATTATTTTAATAAATATCTTTGAGATGCAAATTAATAAGATTATTTTCGAAAAATAAAACAGGAAGGGAGGCATTCACTAGAAGTTCTTAAGGCAGAGAGGGTATAGGAAAATTGAGGAATATAAAAAGGAGAAATCCAAACTTGATTTTTTGAAGGTTTTTCTGAAATTTCTTCTCATTTTTAGATTTTGTTATTATTGTTATTTTAATTTTTTATTAGAGCTAGAATGAACTGCATAAATTTGGAATTGGTCTCCCAATTCATTTTTTAATGAAATTTGTCTTTCATGTTCATTTCTATTCATGTTGGTTATATTTGTACTGCATACACTTTTATTGTAAAATTGTAAAATCAAGAATACGTGAGGAATATATATATAAGGTTTAGAAATTATATATACTAAAATATAGTATTTAAAAGTATTATGAAATTTTAAAAATTGTTAATCACAATTTTTAAAAAATAAAAAATTACCAGTAAATTTTTTTAGAAAATAATACAATTTTTTAAAATGCCAAAAAAATTGTCTCTGGCAATTTTTGGTGAAATGACAATTTTTAAAAATTTTATATATTTTATAAATTTTTCATTTTTTTCATATATAAAAAAAAGCAGCTATAATTCGATGATCGTATATTAAGATAAAAACAATCCATGATTGAGTTTGATACCTAATGCGAAATGCTCTTATTTTCATTTAATTTTTCAAGGAATTGAAAGATTTGATTCTAACCATAAATTTTTTCATACCATGGATGATGATAAACAATTAGAATATATACTTTCTAAGACAATTAGTATTTTTTTTTAAATAATTTAAAAGATTAAAGTAAGAAGTTAGATGAAGATTTTAGCCTCTAGCAAGTTTTTTTTTTTTTTAAATTGAGAAAAGGAATTATTAATATTTCATTTTTATAATTCATTATTTAATTTATTGTTTGATAACAAAAATTTAGTATAATGAGATAGTAGTTACCATTTGATATACACTTACGAATAGTAATAACACCTTCAAGATTTGGAACAACATAAAAAGATGATCAGGTGTGGTTTTGTCATAATTTGTTTGGATTTTCCTTTATTCTCGTTTTGAAATTCATTTTTATAAAGTTTTTATTCGACAATATAAGAAATTAATAAATTAGTCAAGCTGATCAAAATATAAATGTATGATTAATTATTTTGTTGAGCTGTCATTTAGGAACATAAGAACCAAGATGCTAAAATAATCACTATTATTATAACTAGACATTAATTTCATCAAACATTATTGATCTACCTCTCTAACAGTATTGTAGCAGCTTCATAGACTGATCAAAACCAATAATAATAATAATAATCACTTTAAATTAGTAGATTGAAAACGCTAACTTTAATGGTTTTAATCAAGTTGAATTTTTTACAAATAAAAAAAAACATATTAAATCTGTTATTTCCTACTATCTGTACTTATATTAATGGTCTAGGTTTAGTTTGGATAATTTTTAATAGGTAATATTTATAGGAGTAAAAAATTAAGTGATGAAATAAATTAAATCTATTTTATAAATTAAAATTAACTTAAATTTTTTTAAAAATTATCTCTTTGAATTTTTTTTAAAATTTTTAAAAATTAGTTATTTTTTAAATTTAATAAGAACTTATCCATAAATTTAGTCTTATTTTATATTATATGGAGAAAACTCTAAAATTAAACGAGGGAAGGATTTTGAAGGACATTAAAAAATATTTAAACCTTCTCCTAATTTTAAAACTTTCTAAACAATTTTTTTTTTAATTTTAACTACTTTAAGATGGGCCTTTTTTATGAGAAAAAATTACTAAAATATGGTATTCTTAGCAAAATTATAAAAATATAAAAAATATTAAAAAGTATTATTGACAAGTTTTGATTTTTTAATATTTTTAAAAATCATTATTGACAATTTTTTGTACTTTATAATTTTTTTCCTTTTATCTCTGAACTGTAACAATTTTTAAACTTTATATTTTTTCAAAAACACTGAGTTTCAGAATTTATATTTTTAAATACCATATATAAAAAAATAATCTCTACTATGGTATGTGCTGCTGCAAGGAAAATAAAACCCAGCCTTTGTCTAATAATAATGTAAGCAGTTCTTAATTTTTATCAGTGACTAATGCAAAGGAAATAAATAGATATATGCATTGCAGTCTGCAGAGCTATCTATAATTTTAGAGGTTGCTTTCGAGATCAATGGCTTTCGGCATCCATATTTGTGTCTATGATTAATGGAGATTTGGCAGCTGTCAGATAAGCATTCGAAATAAGAGAATAAACACAGGCCCCATTAATTAAAGTAACACTAAACAAAATAGTTTTAATGCAAACATTACACTAAAGTTCCATTTTTTATATTGTTAATAAATACTGTGATATGATCGTATTAAAGTTATCATAATTATTTATTAATTTACTTATTAAATTTAATAATAAATATATTTTACTATAATTATATGATATTACTTAATAATATGAGAAAATTATAATTTAACCTGTATTGTATTCAAAGTTTGTTGGATTTTATTAATATATTTTTACCTTTTTAATGATAACTATTTACGAAAGCCTGTTAGGGTAGAAATGACCTTTATTAGGTAAAGTTTTATAAAGTTTGAACTTCTTAAATATATCATCTGATATAAGTTATTTAAGAAGTGTTTAGAAGATAATTTATAAGAAAATTATGAAAGTATTTTGTGATTTTGATAAGATTTTTTTTAGTTTATTATTCTTTTTAAGTCTGTACAATTTATTGGTTAAAAATAGAATAATACAATTTTTTTTATTGAAATACACGTTTAATTTTAATTGATAGACAATATTAACAACACTTAAAACAAAATATAAAAATTTTATCCCAAAATAATATATAGATCAATAAGCTTTAAACCTTTAAATAAATTAACAAATACATATGTCTTAAATTTTAAAATATTATAATAAAAATTTAACATATCATTATCATGGGTTACAATCATTATCATTATTACTAGGTTGACATAATAGTATTACCAAAGATAAGACTAAACAATGCTGAAAACTAAAAAAAGAAAAAATAGTTATATATTTATAGGGAAGGATTTTTTTACATTGGTGTAAATATAAAAATTATTATACCTTATTTAAACTTTTCATTTAACTTAAATCTAACAACCAATGAAGTAATAAATTATAACTCGTTAGATTTAAGTTAAATAAAAGGCTCAGATTGGATGTAAGAGTTTTTATATTTATACGGATGTAAGAAAATCTTGTCCCTATATGTATATATGAGGAATGATCTTATTACATCAGTATAAGTCTAAAATTTTTTACACCTAATCTAAATTTTTTATTTAACTTAAATCTAAAGGCTAGTGAAGTAATAAATTATAACCCGTTAAATTTAAGTTAAATAAAAGTTTCAGATTGAATGTAAGAGTTTTTATACTTATACTAGTATAAAAAGATTCTGCCCCTATATATATATATATATATATATATATATATATATATATATTCTCCATGATAAATGATAATAGAGAGTGGTACTAAACATTGTTTATATGGTGAGCACTGTTGATATGCATGCGTACATAAGCGTACGAAATTTGTTAG